GTGAGGCCTAGGAGAAATTAATCTACACGGATGGCAAATGACAGGCCCAGACTCAGTCCCAGATCTAACTCCTGAGTGCCATCTCTTTTTTCCTTTTTTTTTGGTGAGGAGGATTGTCGCAGAGCTAACATTGGTGCCAATCTTCCTCTGTTTTGTATGTGGGACGCTGCCACAGCATGGCCTGACGAGCAGTGGGTAGGTCCGCACCCGGGATCTGAACCTGTGAAACCCAGGCCACCAAAGCAGAGCATGTGAACTTAACTACTATGCCACCAGGCCGACCCCCAAGCTCCACCTTTTTAGCACTCTGGGAACTGCCATCTTATAATAACCTCTGCCTCTGTCCTGCTGGCTTGTCCTGCTCTCTGGATCCTCCCTGAACAAACTGACACGGTCTCCACCTGCAACAGCCTTTCAGAGTTTCCTCCAGTTGAACATCCGGTTCCCTCACCATTCCTGTCAGCAGGAGCAATGAATGGCGGGGAGCCTGTGGAGACCTTCTCACCTGACGCTGGGATCTGTGGTGGCCGCTAAGATGCCAACCTGCCCATCCCCATCCAAGCAGGTCCTGAATTTCAGAGTCCTATTCTTTCCAAAAAGGCGCCTCACAAAATACTTTTCCACAAAAATACCTCTCCTTGACCCAGTTGGCTCCTTGCTGGTCCTGTATCTTTCCTTTGTTCTCCCCTCTTTAGCCCCAAGCTCAAGTCTTAAAATCACTTGTGGACACAGCAATTCCACTCCTGGGCATACACCCAAGAGAAGTGAAAAACATGTGTCCACATGAAGACTTGTACACGGATGTTCATAATAGCCTGAAAGGAAAAACAGCCCAAACGCCCATTAACTCATAAATGGATACACAAAATGTGGTATATCCATGCAATGGAATATTACCTGGCCCTAAAAAGGAATGAAGTTCTGATACTTGCTGCCACATGTACAGACCTTGAAAACATTATGCTAAATGGAAGTAGTCAGACACGAAAGGCTACATACTGTATATTTCCATTTATATGAAACGTCTAGAATAGGCAAATCCACAGAGAGAGAAATAGATTAAGGGTTACCAGGGAATGAGAAAATAGATTAGTGATCCTACAACATAACGAATATACTAAAACTCACTGAATTGCACACTTTAAAATGGTGAATTTTATGTTATGTGAATCGTATCTCAAAAACATTTTTTTAATCACCGATGATTTCAACCACCTAACTTTTTAAAGCTTTTTAGTTTCCTCATCTGTGAAATGTAGATCTTGGAGTAGAGATCATTTTTAAATAAATAATTCCAGCTCTTCTTCCAGGAGACTCCTTAAGCAAGGCTTGTGGTCAGGAATGGAGAGGTCATCCCTCCCTGGTCAGTCCTCCCTCACTCCAGCCCATTTGGAGTCACGGATCCAGGAATGTTAGAGAAACGTTATCTGACTCTCTTGTTTTGTTGATAGGGAAAACGAAGTCTTGAGAGGACGAACATTTCTAAGGTCACAGAATGAGTCAGTGGTGATGTTGGGCCTACAGTCCTGTTTTCTTCTTTCTAGGCTCATGTGCTTTTCTAGACTGGATTACACAAAACAATCTTTCCTAACTCTACAGGCCAGCCCCTGCTCCCAGTGAGAGAATCTAGATTTCCTTCCATGACATCTGAAATCAGACCCGTTTATCAGGCGTGTCAGGAGGTGACCTGCTGCAAATACCAGCTTACCTGAACCTAACCAACGATTGGACTGAAGTTTTTCAGCAGGCTTCGCTTCCTCTTTCTGGCGTATTGAAAAATGAGGTAAAAGTAGATTTCTTGCCAAACAGTTGCTTATAGTTCTAACAAGAACTAAGCCTGGTGGGCATTCTACGGGAAGGGAGCTGCACTGGGCTCTTTGGGAGATTTTTAAAAATGGGTAAAGTTTTACTCCTATCTTATCCTCAAGGAGCTTCAGATGTGCAGAAATAATACACACTATGAATAATGTAGAAACTCCCCTTGGAATGGAAGGAAACTGATAGTTTGGGGGTTCCAAGTAGGAAAAGAGTCCAGTTGGGGTGTCAAAGGGTCCACGGAGGAAAGGGCGTTTGGAGCAGGTGGTAGGGAACAGGCAGAGGGCACAGCAAGAAGGAAGATGAAAAAGGCAGAAAGAATGAAAAACACTAGGGTGGAGCTTAGAGTATGTGTAGAGAAATTGAGAAAAACAAAGTTAAGTAGTATCGGGGCCAAGTTCTGGTGAGCTATTAATGCAAGCCTCAAGAAAAATTGCTCAATTTTTGAGCGGTGGGGCAGGGGTGGGACAGGCACTCTTACCCGCTCTGGTACAGCCTTGGAGAGAAAAATTAGCATTATTTATCGAAACCCTCAGACAGTGGCAAGCTCTTTGGGCCGGGGTTTCACTTCTGGGTATTTTTACTGAGAAATATAATGATGTTCATTACAGCATTATTTATAATAATAGAAAATAAAAACAACCTACATGTCTAACTATAGCGCAGTGGTTCTCAACCTGGGTGATTCTGCCCCCAGTGGACATTTGAAAACTTCTGGAGACATTTTTGGTTGTCACAACTTGAGGTAGGATGCTACTGGCATCTGGTGGGTAGGGACCAGGGATGCTGCTAAACATCCTACAATGTGCAGGACAGCCTCACACAACAATTACTGGGCCCAAAATGTCAGTAGAGCCAAGGTTGAGAATATATATCTATATTTTCTCTAGGAAGAGATTTAAATATACAAAAATTATTGGCAATGGTAATATTTGGAATTATGTTTGATTTTAATTTTTCCTTTGTGTCTTCCTGTATTTTCTAAATTTTAATCAACAGTGTATAGGACTTTGTATTAGTCAGGGTTCTCCAGAGAACTGGCTCACGTGGTTATGGAGGCCGAGGAGCCCCACAGACTCCCGCCTGTGAGCTGGAGAACCAGGAAAGCCGCTGGTATAATTCAGTCTGAGTCTGAAGGCCTGAGAACCTGGAGGGCCAACAGTGTAAGTGCTGGCCTGAGTCTGAGAACCAGGACTGCCAATGTCCCAGGGCAGGAGAAGATGGATGTCCCAGCTCAGGCAGAAGGCAAAGCCTCTCTCCTTCCACCTTTCCGTTCTATTCAGGCCCTCACTGGATTGGCTGATGCCCACCCACATCGGAGAAGGTGATCTTTACTCAGTCTGCTGATTCAAATGCTGGTCTCTTCTGAGAACACTCTCACAGACACACCCAGAAATAATATTTCACCAGCTATCTGGGCATCCCTTAGCCCAGTCAAGTTGGCACATAAAATTAACCATCGCAGACCTTTAACTAACAAGAAAATGTACTGAGTGGGGAGGATGGGCCACGCAGCGTTGCAAGACCTAGGAATCAGGCTCTACAGGTCCCTGCTCTCACGGAACTCACAGTACAGAGGAGAAGACAAATAACAGGCAAGGAAACAAAAAACAAACATGATAATTTCTAATAGTAATAAATGTGCAATGAAGGAATAAATGGGGTGACATGACCGGCAGGAAGCAGGGAGGGGATGGTTGGGGGCTACTTGGAATAAGACAGCTAGGGATGACTGGCATGAGCTGAGACCTTGAGTTTGAGAGGGGTGGGAGAGGGCTCACGTGAGTCATGGTGGGAGAGTTTGGAGAAGTTTGGGTTGCTGCAAGCCTGTGAGACGAGGAGGTCACCTGTGTGCACAGAGCTGAATGGGCGCAGCACGGAAGAATTTATTATGCCCTACAATAAAGGAAGCGATCTATTTTCCATTAAAGTTCATTTACAAAGTTCAAAGTGCCAAGGACAGTCTATAATCCTGTATTTTTTAGTGTTTACCGTGTCGAGATGCCAGGCTCTGGCAGATATAGTGGCGGAAAGTGAAGCACGTTTCATTCAGAAAGGAGGTGTTCTTCTCGTTGCCTAGTGTGCTGGAGGGGCACTTCAGTGAGGATTCTGGTATTTCAAGATTCATGGGAGTTGATAGCATCTAGACTATTTTGTGCATTTCTGACTGACAGCCCAAGAAAGGACAGACTGTAGCCAGAAAAAGCACATTAAAGTGCCAAGAGAAAGGTCAGGGGGGTTGAAGAGAAATAGATTTTAAAGTGACACCTCTTTGGAAAAGACAGAAACTAGACTGTTAAGTAGAGGTCACCTCTGTGTAGTAGGATGATGGGTAACTTTGTCTTCTTTCTGTATTTTCTTGAGTGAACATGTATTTTGTAATAAAAGGACAACTAAGAAAGGTGCTGTTTTTATGAGGGCCCTTCAAATTCGAAAATTAGAGAATCGTTGAAATTGAAAGCTGGGAAAGACTTTGATGCAGAGATTATGAAATCAGGGCCCATAGGTGCCAAACCCATGACGTACACGAGGGAGGCAGGCCGAGGGGTGAGAAAGCAAAGGGAAGCCCCATATTGGGGAGGCCCTGGGGAAGGGAGGAGGGAAGGGTGGGGTAAGGTCCAGGGGGATGGGAGATGGGTGGGCAGTCCCTCTCAGCTCAGGCCATTCCTGCCACAGAAGAAGGTGCACACAGAGTTGTGAGATCTTCTGATTCTCCAAGAGAAGCAAGACAGATCTGGTGACAGTACATGTAGGCTTCTCTGTCAAATGTTGAAGGACAATGCCACACAGGGCAGAGAAAATACATCCACAGTAGCAGGTTGTCCTTGTGCTGCGACTCTGCAGCCTCTGTTTCAGTGCATTTGTTTCAGTTGAGCCCACTTCCTGCTCTGTGCAGAAATCTCTTCTCAGCACTTAGTGGACCAAGGTGAAAAGAGAACTCTCACCTTCTCCCAGCCGGGGCCAGGAAGCATCTGGAACACTCTGATCCTCATAATCCTTGTTCTGCAGAAATATTAATGATTTAATCTCCCCAGCACCCTCCCCCTCCTAGGCGGCCATACCAGTGAGATTTACAGACAAGACCCAGAGAAGCCCAGAGCACGTCCTGACTCAGTTTTGTCACAGACGGCAAAACTGCCCTCGGCAGGCCAGCCTCAGCCCCTCCACAGAGGTAGCCAGCGGAATCCCCAGCCATGGGTGAGGTGAAGGCAGAGGAGGTGGAGAAGTTCCTGGACTCAAATGTCGGTTTTGCCAAACAGTACTACAACCTCCGCTACCGGGCCAAGGTCATCTCAGACCTCCTGGGCGCCAAGGAGGCAGCCGTGGACTTCAGCACCTACCATGCCGTGAGCAGTGTGGAGGAGAGTGAAATCATCTTTGACCTCCTGCGGGACTTTCAGGAGAATCTGCAGGCTGAGAAATGCATCTTCAATGTCATGAAGAAGCTGTGCTTCCTCTTACAGGCAGATCGCATGAGCCTGTTCATGTATAGGGCCCGAAATGGCATCGCTGAGCTGGCCACCCGGCTTTTCAATGTGCACAAGGATGCTGTCCTTGAAGACTGCCTGGTGATGCCCGACTCGGAGATTGTGTTCCCCCTGGACATGGGTGTGGTGGGCCACGTCGCACAGTCTAAAAAGATCGTCAACGTTGCCAACACAGAAGAGGTACCCTCTTCCCCATGAGAGGGAGGGCAGGGAGGCATTATTCCATGGGGTTCTGGTGGCACAAGTAGGGTGGGGAGCTCCTGGCTGCCAAGATTGGGTTGGTGATGACTTGGCGCTTCTCTTTATTTATCTACTTATTTATTTATAACTTTTTATTTTGAATAAAACTCAAACTTAACAGAAGAGTTTAAAAAGAGTACAAAGAACTGTGTATCTTTCATCCAAATTCACTAGTTGTTGACACCTTGCCACCTTGGTGATTGCAAGGTTACCACCTTGATACAACACTCCTATCTAACAAACAGTCCATATTCAGTTTTTGCCAATTGTCTCAATCACGCCCATATAGCACTCTCCCTTCAGTCTCCTCAAATCTGAAACGGTTCCTCAGTCTGTCTTTGTTTTCCATGATGCTGACTGTTTTGAAGGGTACAGGCTGAAGGTTTTGCAGAAATATCTCTCTGTTTGGGCTTGTCTGACATGTCTTCACAATTAGATTCAGTTAGGCGTTTCTGGAAGGAATATCACAGAGGCAATGTGTTTTTCTTCATGCCTGACATTAGGAGACATCATGGCAGTCTGTCAGGTTCCTGGAAATGGTAACACTGACTACTGGTTAAGCACTTGGCTCTGTCTTCCGAGTGTCGGGTTCTGGGCGAGTCTACTGGCAGCTCTGACAAAGACCTGTTTGATCATCTGAAGCAAATCGCTTCCTCTCTCCGGACACAGCTTTGAAAAGCTATAATGCAATTCTCCCCATAGCCCTCTTTCTAGGCCAATCCTACTCACCCTTCAGATCTCAGCTTAAAGGTCACTTCCTCAGAAAGGGCTTCCCAGGTCTCTCTGTTACACTCTCCTTCCTAAAACCGTTTATCACAATAAACCTGGATTCCAGGGACCACGCCTGCCTTTATTCTCCACTATATTCAAGGACTCAGGACCCAGCAGATGTCTGGTACAAAGCAGACGCTCAGTTAACATTTGGCATAAAAGACTCACAATCAAGTAATTATGCAATAATTCCTTTAACACCTGTCCCACCCAGAAGAGCATTTGCCCCATGATGGCAGGGCCCGTGGTGGTCTCTGTATTGCTGCACTGGCCAAACCAGCAACCTGCGTTCAGTCATTTCCAAGATCCAGCCTGGACATCTTGTGACTTTGTGCTCACCTTACCTCTGGCCTTATTTCAGACTGAGGGTAATAAGGTTAAAAGGAGGAGAGGGAGGGGACTTCAGAGATCATCTCATCCAACTGCCTTGTTTAATGGATGAGGAGGCTGGAGCCAGGAGACCTTGAGAAAGGGCTTGGCCAAAGTTACCAAGGGGGTTAGGGCAGAGCCAGGACTTCACACCCTCAAACGCAGGAATTCAAACAGGTCATCTTTTTGACTTGGGTTCTTTGGCAAGATAAGAAGCTCAGACTTGGGCCTCTGTGGGAAATGAAACACACCGGGCCGGATCTCCCATGGGGTTCATCTCTCCCTCATCTCCCCTTGGACATCCAAGGATGGGAGTAACGGTTCTCCATCCAGGGGTCTTTCCTGAGGACTCTTCCAACTGGATTGTAGTCTGCTCTCCCTTCAACTCTCTCTAGACTTTAATCGTAGCCAACATGGATTGTTTCAGTCTTATGACATCACTCTGATGATCTCCGTTTTACAGAGAATGAAACTAAAACCCAGAAAGGTTAAGTAACTTGCTCAGAGTCAAACCAATAGAAGGCGGCAGAGTGGGGATTCGAACGCAGGCCCTCTGGCCTTGTGCCCACCCTCTTCACAGCCCTGCTAGTCTATACCTCCTCCTCATGTGTAAAATAAGGGCATTGATCTGGGTGCCGTTTATCACAGGTCATTTCAAATCGTACAGCAGGGAAGGAAGACGTTCAGCTTTGAGGTCAGATCTGGGTGTGCATCATGACTCAGCACTTTCTAAGAATATGATTTTGGCAAATTGTTTAGCCTGTTTGGGCTCACTTCCTGATTTATAAAATGGGATGAGAATATTGACCTCGAAGCGTTGTTGGAGGATTAAACGGGAGAATGATTTCTCATCTAGCAAGGCTCTTGGCACATTGTAGTGGCTCATATTGGTGGCTCCTGCTCCTTGTTATTATTATTACTATTTTGTTGTTGTTGTTAAGGATCTATGCTAAGGGAGGGATGCTGTACCAGGTCTGTGTGCAATGTGGAGAAGAATCCAGTCTTGCCGTTCCGGAACTTTCAGTATAGATTGTACTGCTGAGAAAAACAGAACAGAAGTGCCGAGAGCTTTTATGGGCCCTGGTGTTAAGGGGATTTAGGATGTTCCTCTGATTGTAAAAGATGGAGGTCTAAGAGTTTGCTGAGCCCCTGTGATAAGGGACAGCCTGTTGTTTCCTCTTCAACCCCGAAGTTCACTCTAGAAGTGATGCCTGTGCTTCCCTGGAAGCTTCGGGGCTGGGGCAGTCTCACTAACTGGCGACTCGGGCCTGGGGCGAAGTCAGTCCAGGCCAGGAATTCCTGTTGCACTTGTCATTTGCCTGTGTTTGTTTCTCCTGTTGTTCCTCCTTGAGAAATCTTATTGTCCTGGGGGCTCTGGACAGTGACTGGGGGTTGGATGGAGAAGGAGGAGGAAGATGGTGTAAACTGGGCTCTGGGTTGTCCCTGAACCACCAGCAAGTGATACTCTTAGCATTCAGTGCCCTCAAAAAAACTGGGAAACTATTACAGTCACTGCATTTTTGAAAAGGGAAACCAGGAACGGAGAAGTTCCCCAGGGTTGTGAAGTAACTAACTCCCCATGTCCTAACAATTCCTACTCATCCTTGGGATTGTCTCCACCAGTCTTGCCATGAGGACTGCCAGGTAAATTATAGGATGCCCAGTTAAATTTGAATTTTAGATAAGCAAAGAATAACATTTTTGTAGAAATATATCCCATGCAATATTTAGGACATACTTCTACTCAAAAAGTATTTACTTACCTGAAATTCAAATTTAACTAGGCATCCTGTGTTTATTGGCCAAATCTGGCAATCCTACTTGCCATTCAATATTTGTTTGTGTGTTAATTCTTTACTCTTTCTCCTCTTTGGAAAGTCCACAAGGCCTGTCTGTCTTAGTCACCACTGGTCCCCAACACCTAGTCCAGTTCCTGGGAAAGAGTGGGTACTCCTTACAGTGTGTTGAGAGAATGAATAAATGATGGCCCTTCCCTAATCACCTTTGATATTGTGCTTTACAGTGAGAAATATATATTTGATCTCCATCCTGGATCCTGACACAGAGCTCCCAAGACCTCTGTAATTCCCTGAATGATAGGAGCATCCGACACAGAGCCCCTAAAGCCCTTGGAATTTCTTGGGGGATAGTGGTCTTTTCTTCTAATGAGGTGCCACCTCCTGGGTTGGCACTAGTCACCAGAGAGACCAAGCCATGATTAGACACTTGGAACTTTGGGCCCCACCCCCATTCTCTGGAAAGGCGAGAGGAGCTGGAAATGCAGTTAATAATTAATTATGCCTATGTAATGAAGCCTCCTTAAAACTCCCAAAAGTGTGGGGTTCAGAGAGTTTCCAGGTTGGAAAACACTTCCATATGCCAGGATGATGGAACACCCCAGCTCCATGCGGACTCTCCCAGACCTTGCCCTATGTATCTCTTCTTTTGGCTGTTTGTCTGTATCCTTTACTATATAATAAACCAGTAAATGTAAGTGTTTCCCTGAGCTCTGTGAGCTGTTCTAGCATATTATTGACCACCCAAGCAGGGAGTCATGAGAACTCCAGTTTATAGTTGATCAGTCAGAAGCGCAGGTGACAGCCTGGGACTTGCTAATGGTGTCTGAAGTGGAGGCAGTCTTATGGGACCGAGCACTTAACTGGTGGGATCTGATGCTAAATCCAGATAGATAGTGTCAGAACTGAATTGAATTGTAGGACCCCCTGCTGGTGTTGAAGATTTGATGTTGGAAAAAACCCACACACAGCTGAAGTGGTGTCAGGAGTGTGGCAGGAGTGTGAGAGTAAAAGAAAACAGTGAGTTTTTCCTAGACACCACAAATCCCATTTCTGAAGCCAGAAACTGAGAGGACTGTCATTTCCAGAGACTCTCACTTCTGTTGTCCTGCTCCTTCCCGTCCTATGAGACCTGGAGCCCTGCATGCTAGACAGAAAGAAAGCTCAGGGAGGACGTGGTCTGGCACTCTGATTTTGCCAAAGGGGAAACTGAGGCTCAGAGTTTTCGACTACTGATAATGTACTGAGTGGCCCCTGAAGCCACTCAGTGAGTAAGTCCCTTCCTCCCTGAGGCCCCAGGGTACCCCACACCTTCATATTATGGCTTGAATTGTGGGTTCATGTTTTACATGTCCCCCACTATACTGTGAGAACCCGACGAGGGCAACCTCATTTTTTCTACTGGTCTTGGCATATCCAGTGACTCTCAGAGCTAGTGCTCAGTAAATATGAATGAATCAATCAATCAATCAATCAGTGTATCAATGAATCAGTCAATCAATGAATGAATGGAGTGGCCGTACTACTAGCCAGAAAGGGAATCGTCTATAAAACAGGGAAGGTGAGTTTTGTGCCAACAGGGCGGATATGAGAGTTAATGAGATAATATATTTAAGTTGTCTGGCTCTGGGCCTAGTACATCATTGTTATTCAGTAAATAGTAGATCTCGTCATGGGACACGGAGCTTGGCACTGCAAATGTGTGGAAAGAAGAAGTGGGGAATCTGGAATGAGAAGCGGTGTTGCATGGCACGGGAATAAAGTCTAAGCTCTTGACAGTGGCCTCCAGGGCCCTGCCAGATAGGCCCTGCCCACTTCTGACTTGCCAGCCTCCACTCTCCTTCTCCGTCCCTGTACTTCAGCTACACCCGTCTTCTCTCCTTCTGAGACCGGCCAACTCATTGCCTGCTCCTGGCCTTTTCCTGCTCTGTGCTCCCTGCGTGGAATGCGCTCCACTTGCCTGGCTCCTGGGACCCCTCAGCTCTCAGCCTTACCTCTTCAGAGAAGCCTCCCTAACCACTACGACCAACTAAAGTGTCTTGGCCGGCCCTCCCTTCCATCACTTCCTATAGCGTCATCAGTTTATCTCCTTCACAGCAGTTCCCGTGACCCTGAGGGAGAATGCTTAGTTGTTTACCTGTTTTTTGTCTGAATGGAAGCTTCACCAGAGAAAGAAGGTCGCTGCTCTTGTTCACTGCCATAACCTGAGGGTCTAGACAGTGCCCAGCACACATATAGAAGGGACTCTGTTAATGCTAACTGAGTGGATGAGTGACTTCAGGCTTTCCCCAGCTGGGCATCTGATTCCTGGGCTTTAAAATAAACAGTCTGAGCTCGTCCGAGGTTCTATGACACAGTTGTTTAGAACACTTTATATGCTGAAAATATAAGACGGACAATGATTGCATGAACGCCAGTCAGTTGACAGTTGTATTATCTGTGAGAGGGTTCCAGGGCTGAGAACTCAGCAGGAAAGAGGGTTCTGCTGGATTTAGTATCACCAGCCTGAGATGCAAGTGAGGCCCAAGCGTTTTTCTCCTTCATAGAAGTGAATATTGCAAGACTGAAGTGACGTCATGAAATGAATCCAAGCATGCCCCACCCAGGCCTGAATCTGGGGATTCATCAGTGTCCTTAGAGAATGGCATGGAAAACCCTTCACGGCTAATACCTCTTTAGAGCTTTCTCTTAATCCTCCAATGCTAATTCAAGCAGAGCACTGCAGGCTTCCCTTAATGCCTTCACCCTTCGCCTGGCTGGAGACAGCTCTGTTGACAACAGTGCTGTTGCCTGTTTATTTGATCCCACCTCAACTGGAAGAAATCCATAGATGGAGAGCATCACACTCTGAATTTCTGAATTGTAGGAAAGATTCTGCACACTCACTTCAAGAAAAGCTCCGTGAATTGGCCCTATGAAATACATCCCCACTCTCCAGTCAGCGTGAACTGTGCGTGTCCAGGCTGGTTTGTGCCCCAAGCAACACTGATGATGGGGAAAACTCACACTGCTACCAGGAAACAGAAAGGTGGATTCTTTTGGATTTAAGGCAACAATTCAGACTCTGTCTCCTCTTTCTGACCACATGGACCACATCTCCCTATCCTGGCCTCCCAGGCTGCTTTAGGGGTGGGGTGTGGGGAGGTGTGTTCCTCTGTACTCCCACAGCTTTGAGCCGTGCCCTACATCCTGTATTACTATTAATATCTGTGAGCTGACCTGAATCTTAGTCTCCTTGTATCCCCAGCGCTTAGTGTAAGGCCCGACGCATAGTGGGGCTTCCATTAAGATCTGTGGAATGTGGATAGCCATTGGACTGACTGCGTGGTGCTAGAACTGGATTGCTAAAAAAGCTGCAAGTAGCAAATTCTTTTATTCGATGACCTGGACCCAGGGCTAGCCTTATCCAGACTTCCCTGAAAGGCAGCAGAGCTGAGGGCAGGTTCGGGAGTCACACACCCACACAGGTAACAAGTAGGGTTAACCTTCTTGAATTTCAGTTTTCCCTCCTGTAAGATGGGCTACTGACGGTCCCCATCTTATAGGTTATTAAGAGGATTAAAGTGAGTTGATGCAGGTAAAGTGACACACAATACCTGCTGGCAACTGTGATTATTATACTCACTAAGGTCTTTTCCTCACTCAAGCTTCTATTTTGGACACAATTGTCAACATCTCAAGAGAGCTCTCTCTGAACCTCCCTACCCACGGAGAGTCAATCCCCCTCCACCTTGGGCCCCCACTGTGTTTTGCTCACCTCTCTTCCCCAACCCTTAGCAGGTTGTATCTCAGACTTTCTTCTACTGGATTGTGGAGGCTTCCAGGGCAGAAATCATCTCCGATTGCCTTGCCCTCACTGAAGAGGAGTAGACGGAAGTGTCTTCAGTGTCTTGTCAACAAGAGAATAGTGAACCCCTCATCCCACCCCCTACCATGGACCCCTGGGCTGTGGGTTGTTCTATTGTCTTTGCTCTTCATCTGCCCACCCATCCTTGTCTCTGCTTCCTTCAGGATGAGCATTTCTGTGACTTCGTGGACACCCTCACAGACTACCAGACTAAGAACATCTTGGCTTCCCCCATAATGAATGGGAAGGATGTGGTTGCCATAATCATGGCTGTGAATAAAGTGGATGGGCCCCACTTCACCCAGAAAGATGAAGAGGTAAGAATAATTTAGAAATGGCTAGTGTGGCCGTGCTGGCACATTCTTCCAGCTCATGAAGTCCCCTGAACCTTGCTGTTTGGCCTGGGCTGGGTTTCCCCACCTGTAAGACATGGGGGTTAGTCTGATGCTCTCTGAGGAAAGCAGAACAGGATAACGGTTAAGACGTTGGGATGTGGAGAGAGGAATGTAGGGATAGTTGTTCTGGCTCTGCTAATATCTAGCTGTTTGACTTGAACAAGTTACTTAATTTCTCTGAACCTTACTTTTCCTATCTGTAAAATGGGGATGATTTTATAGTATCCATCTCTTGAGGTACTTGTGATGATCAGATAAGATGACATACATAAATAACTTATCACAGGGACTGCAAACTCAGTAAATAACAGCAATTTTTCATTGACACCCCTATCAACACTGACATTCTCCATTCTGTGAGTTTTACACTCTTAAATGCATTCAACATTTATGAGTCAGCGTTCCATGATCTACCTGCTCAAATTACCTCTGACAAAGCATGTAAAATATTCAGATATTTGATGCTGGTAGAAGTGGCCAGAGGAAGGGTTCCTCCTTTTCATCTCTTTCCCCTCATGCTGTTTGATTTTCAGATTCTTCTCAAGTATCTCAATTTTGCAAATCTAATCATGAAGGTGTTCCACCTGAGTTACCTGCACAACTGTGAGACTCGGCGTGGCCAGGTAGGGGCTTGGCTCAAGGGAATGGGCTGGACACATCCTTTTACTGAAACATTGATGTGGTCAGGCTGGGAAGGTGAATGGTAAAGAGCCTGGGAACCATCATACCGTCTCTGCCCACCATCCCTGGTGTTAATGAGGTAGTGGATGTTTGTAAAGCTGCATGCCAGAGTGATTATATGCACAAGTTTTCATGTCAGACAGCTTGGATTTGAATCCCCGCTAAGCCATTTACTAGCTCTAAGACCCGGGACAAATCACTTAACCTCTCCAAGCTCCAGCCTCCCCACTTGAAAAATGGGGATAATTAAGATTCCACCCTCAAAAGATTATTGTCAATCGTAAATGAAATAATGGATGTAGAGCACTTGCGCACAATCAATGTTTATTATTATTCTTATTAACAACTTATGAGATAAAAGAAATGGAAAGAGTCAGACCCAATAGAAGCTGGCCAGTTACTTCACCTCTCTGAGCCTCAATTTCTCCATCTATAAAATAGGGATAATTGTCCTGTCTCTATCTCTGGGTTATTGTAAGGGTTAAATGAGCTAAACTCTAGAGAACTTTACAGAGTTGCTGTTCTTTTCCAGCTAAGTGAGCTGCTGCTTTGTGCCTCAAAAAGTTTGACTGTGTTTTTGTCTTTTTTCAGATACTGCTGTGGTCTGGGAGCAAAGTCTTTGAAGAGCTTACAGACATCGAGCGACAATTCCACAAAGCCCTGTACACAGTCCGAGCTTTCCTCAACTGTGACAGATACTCTGTGGGGCTCTTAGACATGACCAAGCAGAAGGTGAGACAGCCTTAGGAGTGGACATTTCCAAAATATTCACCGAGGGAGCCCAGATGCGTGTCGTCCATTCGGTTGCATGGGGACGAGGGAGAGGCTGGGAGGCTGTGGATGATTGTGGAAAGTGTTTACAGGTCCTTACACTGAAGAGAGGAGTACCAAGCTTCAAAGGGGAAAAGTCAATCTAGGGCACAGGTGAGTGAAACAACCTGTATCTTCCCTAGTCAGTTGGAAGAGAAAGCATACAGGAGAAAAAGGCTTGAAGAGGTAGTGAAGGTGAGTGATAAAGAAGTTTCTATGTGAAAATCCAGAAAGAAGAAAGTTGCCAACTTTAGGAATTCTCAGAAAAGGCACTCAAAGGTGGGAGTAAACTTTTCCCATGGTCTGTCAAGCCCAGGGCTCACCTGGGCGATTGAAGTGGAGGCGGATGCTGAGAACTAGTCCCTCAGATGCTCAGGGGCCGGGTCTGCCCCAGGTGCATTGGCTAAGGAGGCTGAGCCCAATAGGGCCCCCAGCAATATTTTTCAGCTAGATGTTCCCAAACCAACTCTCCCATTATTCTTTCTCTATCTGTCTCTGCTTCCTGGGGTGATCATTTTCTGCCTTGGGACAGAGTTCCAGAGTTATCTAGATTAGTGATTTCCTTTCTCAAAGGCACAGGATTCCCGTCAGTTTCATTGTGCATGCCTTGTTCTGCTGAGTGTGGTGCACAGACTAATGGAGACCCTCCAAATATTCGGCTCAGTAAATAAATGAACTGCAGAATATGGGGTTGGAAAAGACCTTAGATCTAGGGGAGAGGCTCCCAAACGTGACAGTGAGTCAGAATCTTCAGAGAAACTGTGTAAAAATTGCTGGGCTATGTTTCCTGATGGCCTGCCTTTTTTGCTTAATGTTCTGTGAGCATCTTTCCATGTCAGTACACGTGGATTCTTTATATCAGAACACAACGTACACAGAAAAGAGCATTAATTACAAGTGAATAGTTCAATGAATGATCACAGGGTGAACAGCCCCATGTAACCAGCACCAAGATTAATAAATAGAACATTAACAGGCCCTCAGAAAGCCCTTTCTTAGCCCTTTCCAGTAACTCCCACTCCTCCTTCCTGAAGGTAACCACTATAGGACCTTTAACACCATGTTAGTTTTGCCTAGTTTTGAAGCTCAAATAAATGGAATCATATGAATACATACTCTTTTATGTCTGGCTTCTTTTGCTCACCATTTTGGTTGTAAAAGCCATCTTTATTGCTCCATATAGCATTAGTTCGTTCATTTTCATTCTTGCAGGATGTTCCATTATATGAATAATCCACTAACTATTTAATCATTCTACAGTTGATAGACATTTGAGTTTCCAGGTTTAGGCTATTGTAAATATCACTATTATGAACACTCTAATATGTATCTTTGGGTACACAGTTGTACCCATTTCTGTTAGGTATTTACCTAGGAGGAGAATTTCCAGGCAATAGTTTTAATAGATATCGTCCATCTAATTTTCAAAGTGATTCTATCATTTTACACTCCCACCAGCAATGTATGAGGTTTTCCTTGCAATGCTTGGTATTGACAGTCTTATTAATCTTAACCGTTCTGGTGGGTGTGTAATGTTGTCTTTTTGGGTATTAATATGTATTCCCCTAATGACTGATGAGGTTGGACACTTTTTCATACGTTTATTGGCCATTTGGATATCTTCTTTTATGAAGTACCTGGTCAAGTCTTTTCTCCATTTAAAAAAAAACTCTATTGTCTTTTTTATCTTACTGATTTGTAGAAGTTTTTTACAAATACCGGATATGGGTTCTCTGTTGAATACGCACATTGCAAATATCTTCTCTCACTCTGTGTTTTCATTCCCTTAATGGTATGTTTTGATGAATGTAAGTTCTGAATTATACTGTAGTCCAACTGATCAGTGTTTTCCTTTGTGGCTATTGATTTTTGTGCCCTATTTAAGAAATCTTTCCTGTCCCCAAGGTGATAAAGATATTCACCTATGTTAACTTTTAAAAGCGTTGTTGTTTTCACTTTCGCATATAGCTCTGCAATCTACCTGGGATGTTTTAAGTGTATAGTGTGAGCTAGGGTCACTTTTAATTTTTTTCCATATGGATATCCAACTGATCCAGCACCATTTATTGAAAAGACCCTTCTTTCCCCCCTGTTCTATTGAAAAGACCATCCTTCCCTATCATACCTCTATCAATCGAGTGTCCATGGATACTGGGTCTGTTTCTGGACTCTCTATTTTGTCTTGTATTTATCTATTCTTCTGTAATTACAGTACCTTTATAAAATATCTTGATATCTAGTAGTGAAAAGACCTCTAAGTTTATTATTATATGTTAGACTTTTCACAATGTTTTATCTCTTTTACACTCCTTTCTGCATTTTCCATCCTTTTGTATTTTTGTTTTCCAGATTGAGTATTTCTATAGATCTATGTTCTATTAATCACTGACCCTTCAGTTGTGTCTAATTGGCTATTAACACTATCTATGGAGTTCTTAATTTCAGATATTTGTCAATTTTAGAATTTCCATTTCATTCTTTTTTGTACTTTCCAGTTCTCTTCTAAAATTCTCTATGCTGTATTTGATTTCTTGGACAAAAACAGTTATCTTAGAGTCTAGGTCTGAGAGCTGTAATATCTGTAGATATCTTGTATGGCCCTGTTTCTATGATCTGTTTTCCCTCTCAATTTTTCAGTTAATTCTTATCTTTTACATGCCCGGTTATTTTTGTTTGAACACTAAAAGCGTGTATAAAAATTACAGAGATATAACTTGAAACTCTGGGAGATGTTGTATTCCTCCAACGGGGATTTATTTTATTTCTGGCAAGGAGTTGAGGGAAAGGCAGTGCACCTGATTCTAATCGGGGCTTGAGCTGATTTGAAGCTGGTCTTCAGTCTTTGTGAGGGCTGGTCTATTTCTGGTTCACTTTTACTCCTAAGGGATAAACCTTTGGGAAGACTCAGCGGAAAGCCTGGGGTGTTTTCAAGCGTCCCTCCTCCGTGGCAGGCTCTGAGTTCCAATTTTGTCCTCCTAGCCCAGGAAGTCTGCTGAAAGCTTTGCTCAGCTTCCTAGCTGCCCCACAGCATCTTTGGTTTCAGCAAGGGCGTCAAGAGGAAAAGCTGAATCAGATGTCAGGCTCACGTCTGTGGGCTTCCCTTCTCTGTAGGATCCTGGCCCAGCAGTCCTTGTTCCCTTGCTAGCTCTGTGATGCCTTCACATAAATGTTTATACACATATACACCCACACATACACACAGTCCAGATTTTATAATTATTCTCAGACAGAGGATTGGTCCAAAACAAACCAGCCACCACTAGCAGAAGTAGAAACCCTCTTTGTTCTTTAGCCCACACAGATTTACCTCATTCTTTTGAATAGTATGGATATACCATGACTAATTTATCCATTCCCCTATTGCTGAGCGTTTAAATAATTTATAAATATTCTTGTAATTAAAGACAATGCTGCAATGAACGACCTTAGAATGAAACCCCTGCACGCTTGACAGAGAATATCTACAGCACAGAGCTGTGGAAGTGGAATTACTAAGACAAAGTTTTTATTTTGCTTTCCTCAAATTTTCTTTCTAAAGGCCTTTTACACTCTCACTCACACTGCTTGAGAGTTCCATTTTCCTAAACTTGCCAGTTCTGGATTTCATAAATCTTTTTATTTTTCCTATCTGATTGGGAAAAAAGTGTTATTGTTTTTTCTTCTAATTGTTTTTTCATTGATTACCAGTGAGAGTGAATATATTTTATATGGTTGTGATTTAATTTGTCTTCTTCCATGTATGGCCCAGACATATGATTCGCCATCTTTAATACTGAATTGTTTGTCTATTTCTTGTTAAAATATAGGAGTGATTTAAATATGATAGAGATTATATATCTGTCACATAGGCTGCAGCCGTATTTCCCTTTTCTATGGATTATATTTTAACTTGGTTTATGGCATCTTTCAACACATGTAAGATTTAAATTTTCTTTTATGGCTTCTGAGTTTTGGATTTTGTTTAAGAAAGACTTCCCCATCCTCAATATTATAAATAGAATCTGAAATAATCTGATGTGTTCTCTTTTGGTATTTTTACATTTTTTGATTAATGCATTTTAATTTTTCATTCATCTTGAAATTATGTATGTGTATGGTGTGAGGTAGGGGTAAATTTTGCCCCCCTCCCCATATTTCCTCTTTTAAAGAAAGTCTACCCTTTCTCCACTGTTTTGAAATGCCACATTATGATATGCCATTTTATCATATACCAGATTTCCATATTCACATAGGCCTATTATTCTGATTTTTGCCTTTAAATAGCTCCCTAAGTGATTCTGGTGTAGTTGGGCAATGTACTGATTTTAGGGAACCTGTGATTCTAGTGCAGCCATCATTTGATTTTCACATACTCTTGAACCAAATATTTTGCACATACTGCTAAGTCCAACAATAAGCCCTTTGATTCTCCTTCAGGAAGTAGCAAATGAATGAATTCATACAAATGAATGATTCTCTTTTAATCAAAAGAATTTCTAGGGGCTGGCCCCATGGCCTGTTGGTTAAGTATGGCACACTCTGCTTCAATAGCCCGGGTTCAGTTCCTGGGCACAGACCTACACCACTCATCGGTGGCCATGCTGTGACAGCAACCCACATACAAAATAGAGGTAGATTGGCACAGGTGTTAGCTGAGGGACAATCTGCCTCAAGCAAAAAGAGATGATAGCTCAGGGCATATCTTCCTCAGTAAAAAAAAAAAGAAGAAGAAGAAGAAGAATTTTTGAGTAGTTGAATTCAAAAGACTCCATTTTAAGGTGCCCAGTTTGAACCTCAAAGGATCTGACCCCAGGCACAGGCTGCTCTGTGCTACAGTGTTCTGCCCTCTATTTCTTTTGAACTCCCTCTCAAAAGGCAAAGTCACATTTGAAAAAAATATTTGAACTTAGTCATCTTCAAAAGTGGAGCAATCCAGCAATTAATAGTGGGCTGGGCTGCCTACAGTCACTCTAAGGACCTGCCCCCAGGTAGCTAAGCTCTTACCTGAGCTGTTGACCTTGTGAAGGAAGTCAATAAAAACCACCAAGCTTACACTTTAACTGGATGAATTGTATGTGAATTACATCTCAATAAAGCTGTTTAGAAATAAAAGAAAGAGAGATTGAGAGAGAGGAAGGCAGGCATAAACATGCCCCACTTTCCGCTCAACCCCTTGTTGACAACTGCTGCTTCTCCTTGGGACGATCTTCAGAGCCACTTAGTGTTTGACATGGACAGTGTCAGCTCGATGTCCTCGTCCTTCTGGGCTCCTCTAACATTTGTGTTCTCCTGCCATTACTGTTCGGGTTCTTACCCCGTCTACCTCACTCTAGTTACTCAGGTACTTGATTGTCTCCTCCGTGAGACAGGAAGTCCCTCCAGGGCATGAACTGAGCCGTATCTGTCTCTGCGTATCTAACAGCAGGCATGTTGTGGGGTTCAGGTGGGCCCCCAGGTCACATTTTCACCCAGAAGTGAATTTCCTCCTGTTGTCAGTCATCAAGAAAAAGATTCAACTGGGCAGAAGAGCATAGACATGGACTCTGAATCTCACGTGGATTCCTTCCTGCTTGTCCTCTGGATGATAATAGTACAGGCAAACCACCACGACAAACATTCTCAAACCAGAGAGAGGCCAAGAAGCAAGGAGGCCTATCCATAATAACCCAGCACTGATGGATCACCGTCCCTAAATAGCAACAGATGAAGGAACAGAGGGGACACTGGAGGACAGAAGCCTCCTCTGCCAGGCCCAGCTTTGACTCCACCCGAGCTGTGCAGCTCCGTGTGCAGTAGGAAAACCAGTGGAGGAGCAGCAGGGAACAGCCTGGGTGGCGTCCCAGTTGGTTCCTTCTCCTGAGGTTGTGTGACTGTGGCACACTTCTGCTGGCCCTTTTCTTTCTTCTGTCTTCCCTAGTCTTTGCCAGTTGTCTTAGGTGTCATCCTTTCTTGTTGAATCCCAGATACGAGTCTATCTGTCCATAACTGGCACCATTGTTTTTTCTTTCTTTCTTATTTGGGAAACATTTTTTTTCCTGATTACAAAAGCAAACAATGTTGTTATGGAAAATTGCTAAATAAATTATAGTCTCATGCCAATCCTCCAGAGAAAACCTATTGTTAATGCTTTGTTGGAAATTCTTTGAGAGCATTTTCTATGTGTAGTTAAACATGGAGGTCACGTGATCTATATTTTTTTGTCCCTTCACATCTTTCATTCATCAGGGTATCATGGACATCCTTTTAATCAATACATACACACTCTTGAACATCATTGTTACTAGATGTACCATAATTGATTTAATACATTCCCTCTTGTTGGACACTTAGGTTGCTTCTAATTTTTCACTACTCTAAATTGTTTAGCTAAACCCTCTAAGATATGCTTAGCATGTCCTTAAGGTAAATTTCTTAGTCATAAAGAACCCCTCTTCCCTCTCATGGCCCACAGCACAGAGAGAATGAGAGTGCTCCAACTGAGCTCCCATTTTTTGGCTAATGATTAGACAGGTCTGGTTCATCAGGATCTCAAAGCACAGACATGACTGACATCCTCTAACTTCAGTGAATCTGGCAGCCCTTCCAAGCTCAGCTTTCCGTGAGCTCTTCCCACCTTCCCAATTTCAGTGATAGATGACTCATACAGGTGGATCTTCTTTTATTAATCTCCTTTTCTTGATCTATTTCCAAAACATGTAATGAATGTTTCTCTCATTTCCAGGAGTTTTTTGATGTGTGGCCAGTCCTGATGGGTGAGGCTCCACCTTACTCTGGTCCCAGGACTCCAGATGGAAGGGTAGGTCTCTCTCTGGTCTTTTCAGTATGATCAAACGTTTAACAAAAGGCAAATGTAAGGCACTGTAGACCCCACTGAAGTTTCTTTATTAGCTAGGTATTCTTTTAAATTGAGGTAATATTGGTTTATAACATTATATACATTTCAGATGTACATCATGGTATTTTGGCTTCTATATAGACCACATCATGTTCAAAAAATATGAGATGCTTCATGAATTCACATGTCATCCTTGCACAGGGGCCATGCTAATCTTCTCCTATCATTCCAATTTTAGTGTACGTGCTGCCAAAGCGAGCACATCACCTAGATATTTATCTTCTCTGCGTGGGTTGTCTCCCTTGAAGTTATGATAATTCCTCACAATTGCCAAGCCCTGTAATTTGCAAGCTGTTTTTAATATCTTGCTGGAGTTTCATAGTAACCTGGTGGGGTTGACTGAGGAGGAATCAATATTCTCATTCCCCAGGAAGATCAAGCAAACTGCTCAAGGATTCACCCAGCAGGAGTCTAGAATTGTAGACAATTAGAGCTGGAAATAACCTTAATGTCTAATCTAGAATGCACAAATAGTAGTCAGAAGGTCAATTCCAGCTAGTAGATCAATTTGTTTGGCTGCATAGGTTTTTAAATTTTTCTTAGTTGTTTTTACTTTGTAAAAAATTTGAATTAGTGTCTTACTACTTAAAAATCAAGATATTTCCCATAAATATCTAGATTATCTTCTGAAAAAGTGAAAGATCAATCAAAACTGGACCCACAATCCTGCAGGGTAAACTTGACTGGAGTTGAGTAGCAGCTGCCTCCTTAGAATGTGGCCTGAGCTCTCTAGTTTGCCACAGTCCCCACCACTCCCTCTTGTGTACCCCTGGCCCTCTGCTCTCATTTATGTTTCTATCAGGCTTCTCCAGGCATTTGAGTTTGTGACCTCTGTTCTCATACAATTGCTTCCTTTTAAAGATGAGGCATAAACACGTTAGAGAAGCTGAAATTATTTGTGGGAGGATGTGGAGTTGATGCCGGGTAAAGAGACCAGGCACTCAGATGGCCTATAGAACTTGTAGAATAACTGAATGACCTTAGCCAAGGCCACACAGGATAAGTAAGCAGCAGAGTCACACCCTGAATTGAGTTTTAGTCCAGTGCTCTTCCCACACGACCTTGTAGCCTGTCTGAAATGGTATATCAATTTCTGCTAGGAGGCCTGATTCCACCCAGCCTACACTATCCCTACCAAAATAAGGGCCCGTTTGTTTGTGTGTGTGTGTGTATGTGTGTATAATAGGTGTTATTTAGTCTTAATTCAAACTCTGGGAATTCAAAGTTAACACCCTTGCCTGTGAGCTTCGTAACACTCACCAGAAAAGATTTCAGCCTTGGAATTGTCTGTTGTGCTTTATCCAAAATGACCTTTATAACCTGCTGTTGCCCAGTTTCAAGCAACTCTCTTACCCACACAATTTCATGATTTTATTTGGGAAGGCTGAGTCTTCAAGGATTGCCTCATGTGCTTCTGCCATTAAACCATTTGAGGACACTTTTCCTTTTTAAGTACAGCTTTTTGTGTTGGCATAGTTGACATGTTACCACCGAGCTTTTTCTCCAATCCACATATGAGCTGAACTTGTATCTTCTGGAAGTTTAAAAGCAGAGAAACCGGAATAGCGATCACTGTAGCTTTCAGACACCACCAACTTCAATTAGCTTCAATTTCCTTGGCTGTTTTGATTTTCAGCTCTCTGAGCTTAGCCCTGAGGTTAGAGGTCATCTCCAACTCCAGGACGGCCAGAGAAATGTGAGGCTCTCATTTGTCTGGCTCTTCACCCCCGAGCACCCCAATCTTTAAGATTGAACAGAACAAGACGTTTTCTCACCGAGCGCCAGCCCAGGAAGAGCTGCCCATCATTTGATCAATTCAAGAAGGTTTGGTTTCACTGAGGTGACTAGCACGCTCGCAGTTAAGACTTCGTTCCCAAAACCTTCTCCATCTCAGGTAGCAAGGGCTGGGTCCTTACAGGAGTCTGAGGCATTAAGCTGTGATGGAAATAGCCCCTAGGGTGAGCTTGATTAAATAACCCCTTGGGTCCTTGATCTTCCCATCGATGGGGTGCTGTCACTGAACTCATCTTCAAAGTCAGTTCCAGGTCTGCCGAGGAAAATACACAGAGGCCTGAGCTGGGGCCCAGACACATCATGAGAGGAGTGGCCAAAAGTGGATCTTCTGGAGAAAGGGTGGGCTTGGAGGGAAAAAGCCTGAGTTCAGATCCCTGATCCACCAGCTAGTTGTGTGGTCTTGGACAACCTCTCTAAGCCTCGCCTTCCTCATCAGGAATGCCTGGGTCATCAAGCTGCCTTGTAGGGCTGTAGGAACTACTGTGAATCTCCCTGGCACACAGTAGGCATTCCAATATAGAATCACGGCTCTCTGGGTTAAATGCCACTATCTGCCGGGTGCTGTACTGGATACTGTCATTTACTCTCTCGAGGAGTTTATGAAGGAGGTGTCCTCATTATCTCCATTGACAGCTGAGGAAATTGAGGTTCAGAGGCGGTCAACTCATGTGCACGAATTCAAACCCAGCATGCTTTTCTCTCTGGTAACTATCGTGGCAGTCGTGCTTTCTAACATTCCCTTTTGCCTTCTAACATCACTCTCACACTTTGTCTGCCACATTTATATTAGAAATACAGCTTTTGTCCAGATTTAGACCAATTAACCTCCCCAAATCTTGGGTCTCAAGCTCCCCGGTAGCAGGTACACCTCACTTCATCTCCTTTTAAAAATAAAACATTGTACATGTGTGTTTTAATTATTAACAAGTTATACGGGCTAATTCGGTTTCATGGAAAAAAACAAAAAATCGCACTCATTTTAAAACTAGTATATTTCATGCACGATGATTTGGCTGTGGCTGTGTTTGTGGCTCTTTCAAAGCCCCTTGTGTTACAGCCTTCACTGCTCAGGTGGAAGGTAACAAAGCTGCTCATTGATGGCTCAGTTTGGACTCTCCAAAGGCTGGTGAATTCATACATGAATATGGCCTTGAAGGCAACTTGGCTGAGCTACAGTGTACGGAAAAATCCCTGTTTACCTAAAGCACACTGATCTTTTTGTTACTTTCTGTGAAAGCAAACTGATTCTCTCGTGGGTTTCAAAAAGATCCATTTCTAACCTTTCTAAAAGAGTCTCGCGGAGACCCCAGGGTGGGGCAGCCTGCCGGGCCCAGGGAGCCAGCAGCTTGCCTGGGAGCTCAGTGGGCAGCCCAGGTCCAGGGACAGATGGCCCTAAAGCAAAGAGCTGAAGAAGGCCAGGAAGGTGGTGGAAGTCGGCCCCCTCCTACCCCCAGGTGGACACTCAGCTCAACCAAAGTCCCAGCAGATAATGTGGCCTCCTTTGCTTTCTAGAACCGCCCACAGGGTACAACTTCACTGTTTAAAAATGTTCTTAGCTCAATTTGTTTACGTTTATTGAAAAAGTAATACATGACCACAGTGAAAAGCTGATACCACACAAAAAGGTACATAACAGAAATCTAGCCTCCCCTGAGGCAGCCACTGTTAGCAGTCTATCTTTCCAGAAATGTCTATGGAGATCCGGATATTCCTGGACATATATGCATATTCCACCACCACCCTCGACAAATGTGATGAGTCTATTTTATGCCTTACTTTTCCCACTTGACGATATTTTGGCGTCTTCCCCTCTTGGCACAGAGATACAGCTACTTCATTCTGGAGACGTGCAAAGTGTCCACCGTACGCAGGCACCCGATTTGTTTAACCACCCTCCCAACGTTATGTTGTCTCCAGGCTCTTTCAAGCATTCTGGCTGAGAGCCCTGGATAGTGTAATCGGCACTTTTACCCACATTTGGGACGATATCTGTAGGATGCATTCCACATGTGGAATTACTGGGTCAAAGAACACGTGCATTGTAATCTACGAGAGATATAGCTAACTATCCAACCACAAGCTTAGAATCATAGCCAGGAGGGACTTTCAGGATTATCTAGACCAGGTTTTAAAATTCTGCAAATGCCATTGAACCTCAGACATCCACAGTGGCTGCCTTGGCCAGGAGATGATGGGGAGGAGGAGGACAGGAAAGCGAGTGAGAGAGAACAAAAACAGATGCAAGCTCTCCAGGTGCCTACCTCTGCTTCCATTACGGCGGCTCCACTTTCCTCTGCTTTATATGATTAGAGCCCATGCTTTACTTGGGGAAATGATTCTGCTGCTTAACAGCAACAACAAACACCGCTCATCTAATTTTACAGTTGGGGAAACTGAGGCCCAGAGAGTACACTCCAAGACTAGAGCATGAGTCTTTTCACTCTGGATCTCTTCTTAGCCCCATTTCATCATGCTGGGGGTTCATCTAGTCTCCTCTTGGATGCTTCCTACCCTGGGGAGCTCACACCGACCCTGGGGCAGCCGATACCATTGGGACAGCTCCAGCTTCTGCCTCTGTTTAGCCAGAAAGTGCCTCGTGGGAAGTGCAGTCACTGTAGCTGCTGCCAATGCTGGCCGTCGAGGCACAGAGCCTCTCCCTCATGAGCCTGGGGAAGGTCACACTTGCCTGTCAACCAAATGGGCTTACAGACACCTTTGACTGAATCAGAAATTTCTTTGTGGGGGTTCTGAGTCAGGAGGTCTGCATGGGCCCAAGTATCTATATTCAAATCTCTAGAGCAGTACTTGTCAAAATACCTGTAGTAAAGGAATAGTTTTCTTTTTCTCCTAATTTCCAATCCATTTTAGACTGATCCTTTTCAAAACATGATACAAATATATAACTAGAAAAATAAAAATTAAAACAACATGCAAAACACAAGTCCCTTTTTTAAAAATTAGTTTCAACAGACCTAACTTAACTCAGGCAAACTGCTATAAAAGTTTCTAAACGCTACTCTCAATTTCTGTCTTTATCTCATCGCGGAATGCTAACAATAGTTTGCAGGCAGGTACCAGTCCAGGGACCACACTTTGAGTAGCCCTGTTCTAGGTGAGAGTGATGCAGAAAGTAAAACACTGTTTGAAGCTCTTAACCTTAAGTGATGTAGCAGGAAGAGCCTGAGCACAGGAGTCCCGGGCCTAGGCTCTGGTCCTGGCTCACTGCTTTACTGTAAACGAGGCCTTTCGTCTCTCGAGGTCTCAGTTTTCCCATTTGTGAAGTGGTTTCTAATCTGTCCATCACAATTGGGTGTTCAGAAGATCTAATAAGGTGATGGAATTTTCCCTGGAGAGTTAAGGGAAAGGAGCCACCTGCCAATATCCATCTACATGTTAGGAAGTCGTGTAATTGAACAGATCTACTTTAAAAGAGTGGGCATTTTAATGGTGCAAGGAGGTGGGAGGGACAGAAGAGGTGGAAAGTAAGTTGGGAGGCACGAGGCATGATTGGGAAGGCAGGTCTGGAAAAGCTGACACAGCAAAGAGTGGCTGAATGGTAGGAGCGAAGGAGAAGAGGGGGCCATGACCGTGAAGCTGAGCCCTGATGGAGGACGACTGGGTTCTAAATGGGAAAAGATTCTAAGTGGGACAGGAGCCTCCTTTCCACCTCCCTCTCTCCCTAGACTCCAGCAACAGTCTTTCTCTCTTTCTCCTTGTACTCAACCCCGAGGTCCCCTTGGAACCCTTCCCATCCCTCTTTCCAGCCCCAGATCCCAGCTCCTGCCTGGTCACTGTGAGCTGGTTCCAAGGAGGAGAATGCTGAATCTTGAGAGCTGGCTGAGGACAGTGAGCTCCAGAGGCAGCCAGGATATGCCCTTAGAGGAAGTTATGGTGAGGCTGGTGCTTCTGGAAAAGCATGGGGCCCACGGTAGAGAACAAGGCCTATCTCATGGACACACTCCTGCTGAAGTTCTGTTTCAGGCTCTGAAGGTATATATTTCTCTATCTCTTTTGCCTAGGAAATCAACTTTTACAAGGTCATTGACTACATCCTGCATGGTAAAGAAGACATCAAAGTAATCCCGTAAGTTTCTTGTCAAAACGTGTAGAATTGCAGGCCATTGTCAATGTCCATAAGATACTCATTCCAAGATCGGCACTAACCAAACCCAAGGAGGCCCCACACTTGGTGAGAAGCAGGGAGAGCAGAAGGGGGCGGGGTGGAAGGGTGGGAAGACCACACAGGTTGGGATATGAGGCCCAAGTAGGAGCAGAGACTTGATCAGAGCCACAGATTGCTGCATTCTGCGTTAGCTGCTGTGAGTTCAAGCCCCAGATCCGGCGTTAATAAGTGGCCTGTCTGGGCCTCAGTTTCCCATCTATAGAATGAGACCGTGGGATCTGGTCAGGGTTTGTCAATCGTTTTCTGTAGAGGCACATCTGGGACCCATGGAGGGGGTGAGGCAAAGGCAGGAAGTTGGCAAAGAAAGTGACTCAGCCCTCAAGGAAAGCTTATTCTCTACGTTCTCTTCTTACGTGACCAAGCAGGATCATGACAAGGACAGAACTCCCAGAGGGCGAGGCCTCCAATCTGCCCGTAGGTGGTGGGCACTCAAAGGTCATTTTAAAATTCGAATAGTCAAGAACCTTTTATACTATAGGCTTGTACTTTTTTGGTCAGTAGAGCACTCTCAAAAATTTAGTTGCCTTATTAACTATTTAAATCTCCTCCCCGTGCCAAGAGCCACACCCACAGTTCTGTCTCAAGGCTGGCTCTCTTTCCCAACTGAACTGCAGGCTCTTTGAGGCCACAGCCAGGTTCTGTGGGAGAGCCACACCTTTAGTCTCTTTTCCCAGAGCCATTTTATCCAAGTGAAGGGATACATTGCATGTCATCTTAACAGGGTGTGAGAGGCTACGGCTGCTCCCAAGACAGAATTGTAATAATCTGCCACTCAGATAACCCAGTTCTCAGGTTTATCTGTTACTGCTTGGGAATGAGAAGTTCCTTCAAGTTCCTGAGTTTCTGGGTTCTCTCTGTTCATTCTTGCTTCCATGAGGACTGATTCTTTTCTAAACTCATCCTTTCCTTTTTTTTACCTTGTCAAATGCATACTCCTCTACCTTTCTGTTTTTGAACCACTTTTCTGGAGGTACAAGTTTATTAAACTCATTATCTGTGTTCTATATCACAAGCCACAATTTTCCCCAGTGTGTCACCACTGCTCGTCAAGAAGCTCCTCCTTCTAGCCTCTGATCACTCACCTTGCTGCCTTCCACCCTGCCCTAAACTATGTCACATATTTTAGGTCCTTTGTTCTGGCAGGACTATCTTTCTGATAGTAATTTTTCCATCAGCCAGGAGAGGCTAGGCTATGCTATAAAACCTCAAGACCTTATTGCTATAAATAGTAAAGAGTTATTCACCATTCTACTACATGTCAATTGGTGGGCGTGGTTGGACTATAACATATGGATTATAGTCAAGCAGGTGCACAGCTGAGAGGGCCGTCACCATTTTAAACCTTGCAAGGTTGATAACTGCTGGAGAAAAGAAAGAACTTGACAAAATACACACGGGCTCTTAAACATCCATTTGGAGGTGACGGACATCACTTCTGCTCACATTTCACTGGCCGAAGGTGGTCACATAACCATATCTAACTTCAAGCAGACAAAGAATGCCACCCTATCAGTGCCCAGAAAGAGAGAGAGTCAGAATACTCATAAACATTTTGAACGGCTGCCGCAGTATATGCCATGTAAACTGATAGAGGGGAAAATTGAACAGTAAATCAAACCAAAAGAAGGCAAAATAAAAGTTTAGAAAGGACATAAAGTAGGTGGGAAAAATACAAAGTGTATATTAAGACAATATTTAAATCCAAATATATCATTAGTTACTTCAAATATAAATCAACTAAATGTTCCAGTTAAATGACAAAGGTTGCCAGGCTGGGTAAGAAAGAAATCTATCACATTTCACTGAATCTAAGATGTACAGTTTTCTACCTTTTGACATTTCTGAAATAGAATCAATGACACTGCACAATCGCGGTCAGCCAGACGGCAGTCATGATACAGTTGTTACTGCCCGCCTATGCACGAGCTTGGTCATAGCCATTCATGTTGCTGTGACTTCAGCTGAGTTATATGCATTGTTGGTTGTATCCACATTGAATCTAATTGCCATAAAAGGTATCTTAGAGATTATACTATGATGCAGCATTGCAAAAAAAGTTGCTTTGAATGGCACAAAAATACAGGAAAAAGGTGTGAAATGCAAAAATCTATATCTAAATGCTAAAAGAGCTTTGTTGACATTAATAAAGTAATACTTACAAGTTCAAAAAGCATTGTATTACAGATTAATTGGCAGCGTATTATCTCTCAGTTGCATGAAAGAAATAGCTCTTTAGGGGCCAGCTGCATGGCCAAGGGGTTAGGTTCGCGCACTCCGCTCTGGAGACCCAGGGTTTCACCGGTTGGGATCCTGGGTGCAGACGTGGCACCGCTCATCAAGCCATGCTGAGGTGGCATCCCACATAACACAACCAGAAGGTTCTACAACTAGAATATACAACTATGTACTGGGGGACTTTGGGGAGAAGAAGAAGGAAAAGGAAGAGAGAGAGAGAGAAAGAAAAAGAAAGAAAGCAAGAGAGAGAGAGGGAGAAAGAGAGAGAGAGAGAGGGAGAGAGAGAGAGAGAGAGGGAGAGAGAGAGAAAGAAAGAAAGAAAGAGAAATAAAGAAAAAGATGGCAAAGAAAGAGAGAAAGAAAGAAAAAGAAAGAAAGAAAGAAAGAAAGAAAGGAAGGAAGGAAGGAAGGAAGAAAGAAAGAAAGAAAGAAAAAGATTGGCAAGAGAAGTTAGCTCAGGTGCCAATCTTTAAAGAAAAAAAAAGAGAAGTAGTTCTTTAAAGAAGTGATGACTTCCTAGATATGAAGAAACATCCTATATCCTGTTTACAAAAGACCTATCTAAAGGATAAGAATGCAGAAAGGTTGAAAGCAAAAGAATGAAATAAAAGATACACCATGCAAATTATAATCAAAAGAAAACTGACGTAACTATGTTAATAACAGATAAAAATAGACGGTATGTCAAAGTGCATTAGTAGAGATAAAGGTAGTCACGTTTTAACGGCAAAGGGGCCATTCACCTTGATATTACAGGAATTATGATTCTGAATTTGCATATACTTAATAACATGGCCTCAAAAAAAAAGCGGACAGAAATATAAGAATACACAGACAAATCCATGTTTGCTAATTGATAGAGCAGACTAAAATAAGAAACAATATAGAAGATTTGAATAAGACAATGAACAAACAATCTAATGGATACATACAGAACACAGCACCCCACCCCCCAAACTATAGAACACTCAGTATTTCCACGCGTCCACGTGATGACATTTGCAATAACTGGTGATATAATGGGCCATAAAGCAAAGCTCAACACGTTTCAAAAGATTGAAATTATACAGAGAATGTCCTCTGGTCTCAATGAAAATATGCTGGACTATTTCAACAAAAATAATAACAATAACAATAATAATAATAACAAAATAACAATAATAACAAAAACCTAATTAGAAGAATCTTCATATGCTTGGAAACTAGGAAATACTCTTCTCAAAAAATAGGAACACATTTCCAAAGAACCCATGGGTAAAAGAACAAATCAGCAGAAATTAGGATATATTCTGAACTGAAAAATAATGGAAATGCTGCATAGCAAAACCTATGTGATGAATGAAATCACGCTTAAGGTGAAATTTACAGCCTTAAATACACATATTGGAAAAGAATAAAAGATAAAAAAGTGATGAACTGTGTACCCATCTGTGTCACTCAGGGTCTCGACAGATAACAGGTGTCACATTCAAATTAGGATAATTCAAGGCGGATTTATTTACAAAGGGACAAATTACAGAGGTGTGGTTAGAATGAAGGAAAACAAGAGAATGCGCTAGTGGCAATATTGTTGTAACCACTCCTGGGCCCAAAGGGAGATTTCTAGAACTTAGAAGGAGAAAGAGGCAAGAGGCATGTAGAGCAGGCCACCTTGAGAGAAGCATTGCCCTTCAATCAGGGAACATAGAGAGCCCAAAGCACCTTTGCCAGCGAGGACCCAGGGAAATAAATAGCCTGACTTTACTGTTCTACTTTCCTCTATTCTTTGGCCAGATCTCCCCACTGGGCCCCACAGGGAGGAGCAGGTTGGAGAGTGGTTGTGGAGGGGCAGACAGAAGCTGTCCATCACAGCATCTCAAGAAATTAACAAACAAGCACAAAAATAAACCCAAAGAAAATAATAAAGAGAAGCCCAGAAATTAATGAAATAGGAAAAGATAAATGATGAACAAATGCCAAAAGTTGGTTCCTTGATAAAATTGACATATTTCTGGTAAGACTGAGCAAGAAAAATAGAGAGAAAATCAAATGAGCTGTATCACGAATGAAAAGGGGGGATAACTACAATGACACAGACATTTAAAAGATAATAAGAGATATTATGCTAAAAATATTTTAAATCTAGATGAAATAGGCAAATTCCTAGAAAAATAAAACCTACTAAACACAAATCAAGAAGAAATAGAAAACCATGATAGTCTTACAGTAATAAAATAAATCAAAACCTTCCCACAAACACACTCCAGGCCCAGATGCCTTCAGGGGTGAGTTCTACTAAATATTTAAGGAAGGGATAATGCAATTCTTATAGAAATTATCCAAGAGAATAGAAAAAGAAGTGGCTAGTGTAAACTTGATACCAAACCCCACAAGGGCTGTATGAAAAAGAAAATTCACACCAAGCTTACTTGTGAACGTAGATGCTAATATCCTAAATAAAATTTTAGCAAATAATAACCAATAAAGGATTATATATCATGACCCAATTGAGTTTATTCCAGGAATGCAGGGTTGGCTTAACATTAGAAAAATCAATTAATACAATTTACCACAGTAAGAGAAACATGACATAGTTACCTCCATAGAGGAGAACTTTCTTAATCTAAAGAGAATTTTGAAAAGTATCTGAAAACACTAAGTATTGACAGAGATGTGAGGCAAAGGAATCCCTCATATACCACTGATGGGAGTGTAAATTGGTACCACAACTATAGAAAACACTTTGGGGGGCTGGCCAGGTGGTGTAGTGGTTAAGTTCATGTACCCTGCCTGGGGTTCATTGGTTCGGATCCTGGGTGCAGACTGACACACCACTAATCAAGCCATGCTGTGGCCAGCGTCCTATATATAAAGTAGAGGAAGATGGGCACAGATGTTAGCTCAGGTTTAATTTTCCTCAAAAAAAAGGAGAAAAGAAAAGAAAAAACTTTGGTCTTGTCTAGTACAGTTGAAGATATGCATGTCTTATGACCTAGTATTTCTACTCCTAGGTATATGCCATGTAGAACCGAGAGCATTTATACAGCAGAATGTTCATAGCAGAAATGTTTATATTAGCCCCAATTGAGGGGAATGTCCATCAACGGTTGAATGCATATATTGTGCTACAGTCATACAAAGGAAAACTGTAAGTCAGTCAAAGGAATGAATTACAGCAACATAAAAAAGAAGTCAAACGAAATAATATACATTGTATGATCCCTAAATGAGGTTGAAAAACAGGCAAAATTAAACTAAAGGGCACAGGAAAGCATTGTCAGGTGGTCAAACTCTGCAGAAAAGCAAGAATGTAACTATCATAAGGTCAGAACAAGGGTTACTTTGGGGTTAGGGAGAAGGCTGTGAGTGGGAGGGGCAGGTCAGGGCCTTTCGAGGTGCTGACAGGTTGTTCTTGATGGGGATGTGGTTTCACAGGTGTTCACTTTGGAATGATTTATAAAGTTTTTAATGCATTTTTTCATGTCATATTTTTTCTCACAATAAACAAGTAAAAATAATAATACCGAAGATTGGAAGGTTGTTGTGAGGGAGAAATAAGTATGTAAAGCATGCGGCTTAGTGCTTGGTATGAGGTAGGAGCTCACACTAGAGGAGTTTTCCCACGTTCTATATAGCATTAAGTTAACCCTCTCCCTGTAAGTATTAATGGAGGGAAATGATGGCATCTGTTTTTGATCTGCAGCCAATAGCAATCTTTTGAATGAATGTTGTCTCTGTTCTTGCATAGTCAAACTCCTTGTGCAATCAATAAAATGTATTTATCACTCTTTTCTTGGTGTCTAAATTTGGACATCAAGATGCTTAACCAAAATTCGGGGCTTGTTCAGGTATAGTGAATGGAAGCGGGTGCTGGAAGGCACCAGAGAGCAGAGGGAGGGCAAAGACCCAGGCTCAAGATTTTAGTCCAACTCTTCCCACAGCAAAGCTTACCATTTGTCTTTGGCATTTACAGGAATCCGCCTCCCGACCACTGGGCGTTAGTGAGCGGCCTCCCCACTTATGTTGCCCAAAATGGCCTGGTGAGTGATACAACTTTGAAGGGGGAAGGTGTCGAATCAGGTGGGAGAGTGGAAGGATTTCAGATCAAGAGAGTGGAAAAAATGATGGGAAGTGTGGATCTGTAAAAGCCCGATTCTCTCATTTCTCAATTCACTCGACAGTTGGTCCAAGGAGATGAACAGAGACCTGACATTTGAGGAAATATGAAATACACACAGAAATAAGCCTTAAATGGAAAGGTGCCTAGTCTCACTGACGCCTGAAGATGCTTACACACACATGAGGGACAAAGTCGTGACTGGCTGGCCTTCCAGACTCACCACAGACTGAGTCCCAACCTCTATACCAGAGACTTAGTTGCCACTCCCAGCCCCCCATCCCTGCCACGTTTCCAGCCATACCACGTACAGCAGAGCTCCAGTGGGTGGAGTAGCAGCATCCCCTGCCCCAGAGAGAAGGGTTATGTCTGTTAATGCCACATCATCCCCATATTAGAGCCTGGTGACCCCGTATCCTTCCCCAGGCCCACACTACACAAAGCTGCTTATGTAGCAGGCGTTTCTTGAGCATTTTCTATGCACCAGGCACGAGTCTAATCACAACTCCATTATTCCTCTTCACGGCTTTCAGATTTGCAACATCATGAATGCTCCTGCGGAGGACTTTTTTGCATTCCAGGTAAGTCATTCTCTATTCATTCTCTTAGTCATATGATTTTTTTCCCCCCAAAGAGGGTTAGAATACATTAGAATCGACCTATTTTATTGGGAGGCAGTCTCAACAAAGTGAAAACATGAGTGGAAAAAGTCCTTTGCCCGTAGAAGTAGGGAGGGAGTTAATTTGGTAGTTTCAAGGTCCCACTCAGTTTTAATGTTCACACCCTTTGCTATCTGGCCTCAGGACCTTTGCTTATGCAGTTCTCTCCCCAACCACCACCTCCTGCCCAAATCCTCTCTGCTCTTCAATGACAACCTCAAATGCTATGAAATTTCTGTGAAGTTTTATTGTTTCCCTTGTTTGAATATCATCTCTGTCTCCTTGGGATTTTCATGGAATGTTGTTTAGTATTCCATTTGATTTTGTCTGTCTTTCTCACATATGTTTGTGGAGGCCATCCTCTGTGCCAGGCATTGGCACAATGCTACACTGGCTACGATGGTGGACCAGACCCGCATGGCCTTTGTCTCCAGGGAGCTCATGATCAATGGGGAGAGAAACACGTGGAGGGCTGGTGGGGCAGAAGGGCAGAGGGATAGAGGAGGGAATCTCTCAGGGGGCCTGACTTAATCTGGGAAGAGTCCAGGAACGTGTCCCTGAGGAAATTTTGTCTGGGAGGTAAAGAAAGGAGAGAAGACTTCAGGAAAGAGAGGACTTGTCAGAAGGAACTAGAGTGGATCAATGAATCTGGGTGAGAGACTGAGGAGGAGAGTGACAGGAGGAGGTTCTAGAGAGGCAGCCAGAGGCCAGATCCTGCAAGGCCTGGAAGGCCATGCCGGGGAATGTGTCTCTCCTACTGCCTTTCCCTTACTTCACCTTGTCTTTTACACCAATTCATCTCAGCAAAACACCGGCTTCCTTTGGTCCAGGGTTTCTTGACATCTTCAGCTCTAGGCGCCCTGTCAGTGTTTGTTGAGTTTAACATGCTAGGCATAAGAAAAACCAAATCATTAGCAATCAGGAAGTAGTTAAGAAGGAAATAAAAATGACTCTTAGGAAAATTAGCATATTATTTTTTTACTCCTTGAAGAACATTACGAAAGGGCTTAAAGAGAGTATACTTCCAAAGCTAAAATCTGCATCTTGTATTATGATTTTGACCATATCAGTGTGACATCTTGCGCTGTGGTGTTGACCATATCAATGTGACATCTTGTGCTGTGATGTTGACCATATCAATGTGACATCTTGTGCTGTGATGTTGACCATATCAATGTGACATCTTTGCTGTGACTTTGACTATATCAATGTGACAAGCCCAAATTGTTGCTGAGAGCTGCTAACCTGATTATAACACAACAGAATTTGGTCTTTACCCAGGTCAGCCAATTAATTGCAGTTTACACACATTAGGAAATCAAATCTGATCTTGTTTTAGATTCTCTTTCCCGCTCCAACTCATCTTCCACAAAGTAGCCTGAGTGATTTTTTTAAAATATAGGTTGCATCAAGGAACTTCCCTGCTTAAAAGTTTTTAATGCTTCTCCATTTCTCGTTCAATAAAATCTGCCTCCTTATCAAGGTCTCCAGAGGGAAGGGATTCCCTGAGGGTGAGGTAGAGAGCTGGGAGAGATGGAGGCCTTGACCTTGTCTCCTGAGCCAGCCCTGTGCTCTCTGGGCTGTGTTCTGCTCGTCTCTGGAGACCTCTCCTGCCAGGTGCTGGATTCCAGAGTTACTTAAATAATAACAATGATCATCCTGCCACCTTAAGAATCTTGAAACTTTCAAACAGGAAGACTCTCCAATTCCAGGAAGCCTTCCTTGACTTCATTCTCTCCTCTGGCCCCCACAGTACCTTAGAGAACTTCCCATATGCAGTGTAATGGCCTGTTGACCTTCCGGACTGCGGGGAGGCCTGAGGACCACATCTGTGCCTTACTTGCCTTGGTTTCCCCAGCCACTAGCTCAGTTTCTCATACATTGTAAAATGTTTGATAAATGTTGGATGAATCAATGGAAAAAGAGTCTAGAAATTATCTCGTCCAGTTACCCCCATTTTATAAATGAGGAAAGTGAGGCCCAGACAGATGGGAAACAACTCACAAAGGGCACCTTGTGATTGACCAAGAAATTTCACCTCTATTTTCTTGTTTGCTCCATGAGGCACATACTTTGACTACTGTCTCCAGCTGTAGATGAGGAAATTGAGGGCCATGGAGCTAAAATGACACGCCAAAAGTAACACAGAGGGGTCAGCCCATTGGCATAGTGGTTAAGTTCACACACTCTGCTTCAACAGCCTGGGTTTTTGGGTTTGGATCCCAGACGCGGACATACTCCACTCATCAGCCATGCTGTGTCAGCATCCCACGTACAAAGTGGAGGAAGCTTGGCACAGATGTTAGCTCGGGGCTAATCTTCCTCAACAACAACAACAATAAAAAGTAACACAGAAAGTCAGGCCAACAGGCAAAAGGTGCAGGTTATATCTAGCCGAATAATTCAAAGTTACAAGAATCACCAACATGCCCCTTTTAAGCCAGCCGCCTGCGGTCAGTGCCTATATCCGAAAGGAAACGCGACCTCCCTGGACTGTTTGTGTGCATCATTATACCCCCAGCACATAATGAATGCACTGCCTGGCACATAACGGCCCTGAAATCTTAGGGATGAAAACAATATGGCTATCTGGCTTAAGGAGCTCCCACCAGATGGGCTGTCTGCTCATAGCATTTGTTTGGTGACTAAAACCGTGCAAAATCCAACAGGGTCTACCCTCTTGCCCCCTCCTCAGCCAGTCAGGGTCACGATGCAGCTGCCTCTGCAGCCTGGTACCCTAGGAAACCTACTCTGGCTCTTCTCTTGTAGAAAGAGCCTCTGGATGAATCCGGATGGATGATTAAAAACGTCCTTTCTATGCCAATTGTGAACAAGAAGGAAGAAATTGTTGGGGTGGCCACGTTTTACAATCGCAAAGACGGGAAGCCCTTTGATGAAATGGATGAGACCCTCATGGAGGTATGGTCTTTGGGGAAGCCTTTTGCCATTGGGATTCAGAGTTGGCTGGCCACCATGCTTGGCTTCCAGAGCTGCATGGTGGGGTCCTCGTGTGCTGCTCCTATCCTGGGAGGGATGGGGAGCTCACCTTGTAGCCGCTATCCTGACTCAGCCTCAACGTCCACTTTCTTCCCTCTCACTTCTGCACTGCCACGTGTTGTCGGAGAAATCCACATTGGCTTAGAAAAAATTTAATTCATGAACTTTACCTTTCAGAGCAGCTTTGGGGTCACGCACAACTGAGCAGAAGATACGGATGTTTCCCATTCACCCCTTATTCCTACATGCACACAACACGTTGCCTGTTTGTGAAGTGATTGTGCACAAGAACGATGCTTTCTGTGTGTCAGTGCTTTATTTAAAGTGCATTCCCATCCGTTATGTCCTCTTTTCCCCGCAATATCTCTTTGAGGGGGGCAGCACACAGCTGATCAAACCCATTTTACGGCTGAGAAAATGGAGGCGGAGACAGTCTTGCTCTAGGTTACAGAGGCAGGATCAAGCCCGGATGTTCTGCCTCCAATTCTTCCTTTCCTTTTTTTTCAGTCTTTGACTCAATTCCTGGGCTGGTCTGTCTTAAATCCTGACACCTACGAGTCCATGAACAAACTTGAGAACAGGAAGGATATTTTCCAGGACATGGTAAAATATCATGTGAAGTGTGACAATGAAGAAATCCAGAAAATCCTGGTGGGTAAAGTTCTTTTCTTGTTTCTTCTCTGGCAGAGACAACCGCCCGTTGGAGCTGTGGCCAGAGCGAGGCAGGACTTAAAGCTCCATGAGGGCAGACGCTGGGCTGGGCTCGCTCGCTGCTGTAGCACCCTGTCTCACACAGGGATGCTGCGGGCCCTGGCGTTGAGTGGATGAATGAATGATGCACAGGTGCCCGAGGGTCGCAGCTAATGGCTGCTCTGTGCGGCCTGGGGGCAGCTGTCCCTTGCAGGGACACCTCAGTCTTAGGGCCAGATCTTGGCTTAACAGTTCTGGAAACTCCATTTTTCACTGTGCTCAGGGCTGACTTAGTAGTGGAGATGGAGTCATCCAGCCGCAGCCCCTACTCTGAGAGGAGACTCTATCTGACACATCAGTGGACAATGGTCAGTTCCTCAGAGCTGGGGTCAGCTCACTTGGAAACTCAACTTTCTGAGCAAAGAAATAGTTCAGAGGGAGTTAGATGTTAGCAGAGCCCTCACATAATTTCATCACTTTACAGTTTATAAAGCAAGTGCACACTTCGAATCCTGTTTGATGCTTAGAATAGCCCAGTAAGATGGACAGAGTAAAGATTTTCCCCTATTGTAGAGATTAAGAAATTGAGGTCCAGAAAGATGAAGTAACTTGTCCCCAAATCACCCAGCTCATTACATAGGCCTCACTTAACCTTTATGAGGATAACGAGCAAATCCTCTAACATTCTTACGAAGGAGCTGCCTAGGAGGTAGTGAGCACCCCATCATGAGAGGTATCCAAGCAGAGGTTGGATGATCATAAATCAGGGGTGCTATAGAGGAGAGTCCTACCTGGGGTAGGAAATTAGAAGAGATGCTTTCAAATATATGTGAAAATCAGTGATTTAGCATTCCTGGAATTTTGGTCTCAAAGAGACCAAGATTTCAGGAGCAAATTGAGTTAGCCAAATGGTGTCGGATATGTTGCTCAGCTGAGCTCTCAAGACCTCGGCTCATAGACCTCATCAGTTGAAACAACACACAAAGTTTTCAAAGGCCTTTTCTTAAGCTGGGAAGATAGCACAACAAATTTAATCATTTCATCCCAATAACTGATAAATTCAAAGAAGAAAACATCCAGTTTGTATGAATTGACTTATGGTTTGCTTTTCTCGGTCCATAATTTCAGCCAAATGATGGACATGTTGGACCTACGGAGGCATAGCCTCAGTGAGCCAGGTAAAAGTTAATAGATGGTGCTCTGGGTCAAGGAATCAGAAACAAGTAACTGAGTCCAGCTTCCCATCCCTCTGGTACATGGGGAATTAGGCCCAGAGAGGGAAGGAAATTGCTTGAAGTCACACAGTAAGTGTGAGGAAGAGCCAGGACCTTGAGCAAGGCCTTCTGACTCCCAGGGTGTAATAATAACAAAAATCTCAACAACATTAATTCTAATCCTTACTATGTGTGAGCATTGCACTGAGTGTTTATGCTTACGTGCATTATTTTCGTTGTACAGGTTTTTAAAAAATGACTTTTTAAAATTAAGTTAAATTAGCACGATCTAGTTTTAATTCACCAGGTAAGTACTTTTATTATCTCCATCTTACAGATGAGGAAATGGGGTGATCAAGGCATTGTATAACACTGCTACTAAGTGGCAGAGCTCGAATTTACATGCCAGTTTCCACCGCTCCAAAGTTCACGACTGAATTTGCTCTTCAATGAATGTTGAAGGCGGCCTCTCTGAGCTGGGGGCTCTGTTGCAAGGACTGGAGGAAGGAGGGAAATGGAAATGGAAAAGTGGAGGCATCTTTAGACCTTAGATGTAGTAACCTTTTGGGTTTTTTTCCTCTGCTCCTTTGGGCCCTGGCAGAAAACCAGAGAGGTGTACGGCAAGGAGCCGTGGGAATGCGAGGAAGACGAACTGGCCGACATCCTGGTGAGCGGGGCGGGGCCGCACTGGCCCTCACGGTTAACAAGTGCAGGGGGCGCCCGAGCGAGCGTGCGCACGGGGGTCTCTGCAGAGCACGACCTTTGCCACTCTGCTCTGATCCTCCCAGCAGACCTGGGATAGGACGGGGCTCGGGGGAGACAGGAAGAGACCCAGCCCATATCATGTGCCCTAATCACTTGACTCTGGTCCTTACACAGCAAGGAGAGCTGCCAGATGCAGAGAAATACGAGATTAACAAGTTCCACTTCAGCGATTTGCCCCTGACAGAACTGGAGCTGGTGAAATGTGGGATCCAGATGTATTATGAGCTCAAAGTGGTGGATAAGTTTCACATTCCCCAGGAGGTGAGGTCAAAACAAACCTCTTTAATTTCCTTTTTTCTTGTTTGCTTGCTGGGATTTTTTTTTTTTTTTTCCTTTTTAAACTCAGCCGTAGACTGCCTTAAAAAGAGTGTACCCCTGGCTTTTAGGATTTAAAGCATTAGTCATGTGCACGGATGAGTCATTTATCAGAAAAGAGACTCCCAGTTCCTCTGCCCTGTGGCGTTTCGGGGGCATTGGGGCACATTCGGGGGTTCTGAGGCACTGAGTTCTGAAGGCTCTGAGTAAATGGTTTGCAGAAAACAGTCCTGTAGTCACCCAGGGTGGAAAATGTGGGTTAAATCAATTTAAACAAGACTTTTTCCCTGCAGGATTCCTTAGGGTGTGCTGTGAATGTCGAGAGATGCGGGCTGGGCAGAGACGGTGGGGGTGTCAGGTGTACCCGCCCAGAATTTCCCAGACCTCTGATTAAAGCAGCGGTTCTCAAAGTCTTGCCCCAAACCACATCAGCACCACCTGGGAATGTATCAGAAATGCAGATTCTCCTTGCTCACACACGCATGCTCTCTCTCTCTGTCTCTGTCTCTTTCTCCGCTCTGATGAATCCGAAGCTGTTTTAACAAGCCCTCCCGGTAATTCTGATGCACACTCCAGTTTGAGAACCACTGATTAAAAGACCCCTTTTGTTTTCCTCCCCTATGAACCTTCTGTTAGTTTCTCCTGGGACAGTAGCCCTCCGCGTCTCAGTTTGGGAATCAGTGATGAAGTTTAATTGGTGGATTAAGTGCAATCTACCTGGTTTCATCACAACGTCCGTTTTTGCAGTATTTCACAGCTTGCAAAGTGCTTTCACGGTATTGTCGCATCCATTGCTAGTTACTGCCTCCTGGTCCAGAGTCAGGGTGGGAGGAGGCAGGGCCCCAGGCCCCTGGCAGGGAGCGTGCTGCCTCACTGCTGTGCATGTGTTTGCAGGCCCTGGTGCGCTTCATGTATTCCCTGAGCAAGGGCTACCGCCGGATCACCTACCACAACTGGAGGCACGGCTTCAACGTGGGGCAGACCATGTTCTCCTTGCTGGTGGTACGCCCGGCGGCACCGTGGTGGCCGAGGGCTCCCTCCACACCAGACGACCTCCTGCAGCTCCACTACAGCAGAGCAACGTTGTTCTTCTCTATTTATTTGCTTTTTAAAATGATGCAAAAGGAGCACATGCTTAGCATAAAAGAATTCCAAGAATAGAGAAGCATATAAAATAAAAATTGAAAGCAAGCTGCGGTCTACCCCAACCCCAGTCGGGTGATTTGGAGGTTACCATGGCACACGTCCTTCCACAGTTTCTTCTGGGAGCATAGAGACACATTTGTACACACACATACACACACAGTTTATTTTGTTTATGACCAGTGGAATAATTATTCTGTAATATGCTATTTTCATTTGAAGAAATATAAATATATCAGATTACATATATACAAATTTTTTTGTTGGGGTGAAATATACCTAACATAAAATTTACCATGATAAGCATTTTTAGGCGTACAGTTTAGTGGCATTAAGTACCTTTACAATGTTGTGCCACCATCTCTACTATCCATCTCTAGAACCTTTTCATCTTCCCAGACGGAAACTCTGTCCCCATTAACAACTCCCCACTCCCCCCGCCCCCAGCCCCTGGTGACCGCTATTCCACTTTCTGTCTCTATGAATTTGTCCACTCTAGGGACCTCGTGTGAGTAGAATTGTGCATTGCCTGTCCTTTTCTGTCTGGCTTATTTCACTTAGCATAATGTTTTCAAGGCTTATTATCCACGATGTAATTTTATGGCTGCAGAGTACTCTGTATTGTCTAAATACACCATAGTTTCTTTACCCAGCCCCCTGTTGTTGGACATGGGGTTGTTTTCAATCTTTCACTATTACAAACAGTGCTACAGTGTCCTTGGATGGACATACCCGTGTGTATTTGTGTCAGTATTTTTGGCTCAGAGGGTTCGGAGCCCTGTGTATTTCATTTAAAAGTGTTTTCCCATCCAGATTATGATGTAAATCTCTGCCTTGCCCCGCCTCCTCATGTTCCTTCCTTTCCCTCCTGGCTGGAATGGTCAGACCAGAGTAGGGACTAGGGCCTGGAGGCAGGAATTCTGGCCAGGCCACCCTAGAAGGTGACAACGACACCACTTAGACTTGATTTAATTTTTGGAGTCACAGAGTCAGCATCACCTCTCCAGGGCTCCTTCCCACCCTCTACTCCAACACCCAGCACAAACAAGGAGTTAAGGACTTGAAGGAGGCTCTGGGAAGGCTTCTTCTGGGCTGGGCCAAACCGGTAGACCAGGTTTGGAAGATTTGCTTTACTAGTCTGGCCATGTTCAAGGACCCTCCAAACCCTAAAACCTGACAGTGGCAAGTTTCTCAACAATCATCTAGTCCAGTGCCCTCCAGCTCCCGTGTGTAGACTGGAGAACTGAGATCCAGAGGGAGATGGGACCAGCTGAGTTCACTCAGGAGAGGGTGACCAACCATCCCCGTTTGCCTGGGACTGTCTCAGTTCTAGCACAAAAAGTCCCACAACCCAGAAAACCCCTCAGTCCCAGGCATCTGGTCATGCTATGGCTCCAGGGGTAGAACCAAGATTTAATCTACGTTTCCAAGCTCTGGGCCCTCCTCCTCACACCTGCCCTCTCAGCTCAGCTTCCAACCCCCACAAGAACGGAACGAGTGACATCTCTGATTGCCCTTCCAGACCGGAAAGCTGAAGCGCTACTTCACGGATCTGGAGGCTTTGGCCATGGTCACTGCTGCCTTCTGCCATGACATTGACCACAGAGGCACCAACAACCTTTACCAGATGAAGTGAGTCAGCCCTTCCTGGCCCTCCTCTGTGCTGCCCACCCCTGGAATTCATTACCCAGATCCAGATGGACGCACTGGCCACGGGGAAGTCCTGCTGTCCACAGCTTCCCACTTCCACCTACCCTTTGGGTCTGGGTAAACTCCTGTGAAAGACAGAATAATGACTCCCAAATATGTCCACGCCCCAATGCCCAGAGCCTAGGAAAATGTTGCCTTACATTCAAAAGGGACTTCGAAGATGTGGTTGAGTTAAGAATCTTGAAATATAGGGATTATCCCGGGTTATCTAAGTGGGCCCCATGAATCAGAAGAGTCCTTATAAGAGGGAGGCAGGAGGTCGGAGAGGAGGGAAGATGCTACACTGCCAGCTTAGAAGATGGAAGACAGGCCACAAGCCACGGAATATAGGAGGCCTCTAGAAGCTAGAAAAGGCAAGGAAACAGCTTCTCCCCTAGAACCTCCTGAACAAAAGCAACTCTGTGGACCTGTTTTAGACGCCTGACATCCAGAGCCGTAAGATAATAAACTTTATTGTTTTAAGCCATTAAGTTGGCGATAATTTGTTACAGCAGCCATGGGAAACTAACACAGTAAAGTCTCTCGCCCTCCTTCTTCCCTTCCTACCTGCTGGACTCATTTAAGCCAGGATGTTAGTAACAGATAACGGTTCACTCCTTCACCTTGTATTGATAACGCTCCTCATAGGAGTGTGGTAGGCCCTGGCCAGGCACAGGAGGTACCATGGTGGGCAAAGCAGACATGGTCCCTGTCCTCACAGAGGTTCTTTTCCAGACAGCCTCTGCAGCATAGTCCTTGAACCGTGCTCTCGGTGGACCCTTGTGACCACCTCGTGGGCTGGACAAAGAAGGGACCAGTGTTATACCCATATTGTAGATGAGGAGGCTGAGGCTCTGCCCAGGGCCCACAGTGTGTAAGTCACTGACAAGCACTAGAGCATGCTTCTCTGCGTCTTCTCGATACTTGCACGCTGCTCCGAGGCTAGAGATTGTGTCTACATTTTACCTTGTGGGAAGCTAAGTTCTGAGCTCAGTGCTTACAATATAGTAGGTTCAATATAGTAGGCTCAATGAGTATTTACTGAAGAAAGACAGGAACAAACACGCTAATTGTGGGAGTTCAGTGGCGCCCTCATGACTCTCCCTATTTTCCCCCGTCTCACTGTGTGACGAGTTCCTTCTCATTCCTGGACTTCCACCTCTCTGCCTGCAGAATTAGGAGGTGGCAGGACTGGATCACGTCTTTAACCTCTATCTCAGCCATTCCATGTTGATTCTGTCTTTCTCTCCCATTCAGATCCCAGAACCCACTGGCCAAGCTGCATGGGTCCTCCATCTTGGAAAGACACCACTTGGAGTTTGGCAAAACATTGCTGAGAGATGAGGTAGGATGAGGGCCCTCTGCCCTGGTGTTAGGGCCTGCACAGGAGCCCACGTCTCACCAGATGCCTGAGTGTGGCCAGGCAGCCCCTCCCCATTGGTCTGGGCTGCCTTTTTTATCATCTAAGGTGAGCATCAGTAATTGGGTGACTTTACTGCCGGCATCACTTCTCACATTTCCCCTGTGATTTTCTCTTTAGAGCCTGAATATATTTCAAAACCTCAATCGCAGGCAGCATGAGCATGCAATCCACATGATGGACATCGCGATCATCGCCACAGACCTCGCCCTGTATTTCAAGTTGGTCTTCTCATTTTAAGAATAAGAATAACCATGATTATAACAATAACAAACATCATAGTTCCAATAGATTTGATATGTCCTGTGTGCCAGGCACAACATTTGTGCTATGAAAAATTAATTCTCACTACAACTCTGCAAGTTAGATACTGTTACCTGGGTTGTCCAGATGGGCAGCTGAGATCCAGGGGCTTTGCTAAGATCAGATAACAAACCCCTGACGGAGTCTAGCTTAGGTCCTGGGTCTGCACTCCCAGGCCTTGTTTTGTTAATTATGTTGTTTTAATAAGCCTCCGTCTGAAACAGTGAGTGTTAGAAGGCCAGTGTTGCCTTATTCTAAGATGGACTCCTTTAACAGACTGCTGTGTTTTGTAGGAAGAGAACAATGTTCCAGAAGATCGTGGATCAGTCTAAGACATACGAGACTCAGCAGGAGTGGACGCAGTACATGATGCTGGAGCAGACACGGAAGGAAATTGTCATGTGAGTTGAAACGGGGCTTTCACCTCTCATCCTCGTAAGCCCAGGGCCATGAGGCGACAAGCTGCCCTGACAGGGCTTGCAGCCCTCAAGAGAGCCCGGGGACACTTTCCGCTTTAGAGGCCTCTGACGTATGGAAAAAATGAAGTTATGCCAAAACAGAATTGCAGAAATGATGATATATGCTTAATCTTTGTTTTAGCACTAAAATACAAAACTATTATTTTATTTCTCTGTCCAAAAAAGTATAATATTTGAAGTATTTCTATCATCAAGTTCAGAATTTTGGTGGTAAAGTGATATAACTTTTCTTGATAAAACGTAGAGCATTATATCAATTATTATTTGAGTGATAGCTATGTGTCACTCAAAATAATAGGCTTAATTTTTTTTAGTGTTTCTTAATTATGGCAAAGTCCTGTAATATAGCCATGCTGTTCACAAATTAGTTACATGATTTTTATGAAATTTAGAGTGCCTTGATGGCATAAGGTCTGGTAATGGGACTCAAATTTAAGTTTTCTGGGGGCTGGCCCTGAGGCCCAGTGGTTAGGTTGTGTGTGCTCTGCTTCTGTGGCCCAGGTTCAGTTCCTGGGCGCAGATCTATACCACTTGTCGGTGGCCATACTGTGGTGGTGTCCCACGTGCAAAACAGAGGAAGATTGGCAACAGATGTTAGCTCAGGGTGACTCTTCCTCAGCCAAAAAAAAAAAAAAATTTAAGTTCTCTGGTGAATATCTTCTTTCACTTCTCTCAATGTGCTTCCATGATTTACCTCAACTGATGACAGAGTGAGAAGTGTAAATTTGAGGCCTTTTGTGAATATGTGGCCCAAGCCAAATGGTCCTCTGGCTCCCCTGTGATGGGTCTTGGGTGTTGACAATCAGGGGAGACAAGGCCTGACCCGGTTCCCAAGGGAGTATCAGGTTGTTGGTTTATCCCCAGATAACTGGCACATCCTCCTTGCAGCGAAACTTGGTGACATCTAGATGCACTTCACATGCACATCCCCTTGGACCCGTTAATCCCACTTCCAGGAACTGATCTCAGAGATAAATGCCAAAGCTGTAGCTGTTTCAAACAACACAAGACTGAAAACAAGGTACATGCCTCCAGGTGGGGACCTGGTTAAATAAGAGATGGTAATCCATGTAGGAAGCATTACACGGTCATTAAAAAGAAGCCATAGGGGCTGGCCCGGTGGCACAGTGGTCACATTTGCTTCTTGGCGGCCCGGGGTTCACCGGTTCGAATTCCAAGTGCAGACATGGCACTGCTTGGCAAGCCATGCTGTGGTAGGCGTCCCACATATAAAGCAGAGGAAGATGGGCATGGATGTTAGCTCAGGGCCAGTCTTCCTCAGCAAAAAGAGGAGGATTAGCAGCGGATGTTAGCTCAGGGCTAATTTCCTCAAAAAAAAAAAAAAAGTGGGTCGGTTATGGCAAGGTCCCTTTCTTTTAGAGGACAGCAGGGATCTCTCAGGCAGATGACCTCACTAGTGCTGACCAGGTGATTCCTCATTGACTAGTTTGGGATTCCGTTCCTGGGGGAGGCCGACACTGTAATTGTCTCAGTGTGGTGACGTGGAGCTTAGCATAAGTGACTCCATTTGGGGCTTGTTGTCTTGTTTTTAACAGTGCAATTCAAGAAAAAGACTAGTCCAATAGAAAAATGGAGAAGGGCACAAATAGACATTTTCCAGAAAAGGAATTACAGTAGAATATAAACATATGAAAAGATGATGATGATGTTACTTATATTAAAAGAAATGCAAAATGAAACTGCGCTGAGATGTAATTTTGCACCCTTCCCATTGGCAAAGATTAAATGTTTGCTGACACTGTGTAGGGCAGAATGGGGGGCAATGGGCAATCTCCTTCGCCGTGGTGGAAATACAAACAGGTGCAGCCTTTATGGAGGGCAATCCCTATCAAAATTGTAAGTGCCCATACTCTTTGACCCAGCTGTCTCGCATCAAGGATTTACTCTCCAGATATCTTCCCACACGTGCGCCACAGAGTATGTACAAGGCTGTTCATGGCAGCAGCATTTGTAATCACAAAAGAGATTGAAAACAACGTAAATATCCATCCTGGGGAACTGGGTTAAATACACTATGGTACTTTCATGCAGTGGAACGTCACACAGACTTTACAAACAAATGATAGGAAGGATTTCCAAGATACAATGTTTAATTTAAAAATCAAACAAACAAAAAAGCCAGGGCAGGACTTCAGTTATTGTAAAAGCCAAGCTAGTCTTAAATGGAAGTCTTCAGATTGAGAAACACACGCCCCTCCGGGCCGCATCCCTGCTCCCCAGGGAACTCAAAGCCTTCCAAGATACAGACGCTCATGGATGGGCTCCAGGGAAACGATGTTCTTTTTCTTAATATTATCTCCCTGAGAAAGCACAGTGGGTGAGGCACTGGCAGTTCCCTCACTCTTCTCCCACTTTACAAAATAAAGGCAAATTTGCCTTTTCTCAAACCTTTCTATGGTGCTCAGAGGCAGTCTTCCTCAGCAAAAAGCGGAAGATTGGCAGCAGTTAGCTCAGGGCTAATCTTCCTCAGAGAATGTGTTTTGTTTTGGGGGGCAAAATTATACTCTGAGACTGTCTTTACCAATAGTTTACACAACACAGGTTGCGGGGGGATTTATAATAGTTTTATAAGTCAGTAGCACACAGGATAACATCTCTTAATGAGCCAATAAAGAGATAATGTAACATAACTCCAAACCAATGATAGATTAATCACACTGTTGTCCCAGGCAAAGGGAGAGGAAAGGAATAAAGTCCAAATCTAATCAAGGTGTGCCTTTTTATAGGAGGAGGCACTTGGCCAGCGCAAAATAAAAGTTCCTTGTTGCCAGGGGACGACAGTGCCAGTGTTGCCAGGCAGGCTGACCTTCATGGGCCCGTTTCTCGGCTTGTCACCACATAAGGGAGTCGCCCTTACCACCATAGGAGCTAATGACCCAAGGTCTTCAGAGAGTTTATTTAGGTCAGCCAAGTGTTGCCTTGCCCAGACCAAAACTCTTGAATATTCCTTAAAAACTCCGGGCAGTTAGAGTCTAAATGTCCCCTTGTCGTGGTTTCTTCTCCACATCTTATTACCGATAAGCTCCCAGCAGTGTTCATCTTCAGCTGAGCTACTGACTTCTTATCGATGATAACAGATGAAATGATGACATCCTGACACAACTTGATTCATTCTTGTCTCGAAACAACTTTTTTTGTCTTTGTCATAAACAAATGCATTGAAGCAACTTCACTTGTCATTAAAAAATGGATTTGAAATCATATCAAACCAATACACAACAGAATGTACCACTGTCCAGAGGTGGTCCCCTGATATGAGGGTAAAGGTCCATCGATAACAAGTACTGAGGGTGGCAGCACCTGACTTCATCCATGCCACTATCTAATCGATCATCTGTCTCTCTGTCTGTCTGTCCATCCATCTGTCCGTTCACTCACCCACCCATCCATCTGTCCATCTGTCTATCTATCTTTTTACCTATCTATCTATCATCTATCTATCTATCTATCTATCTACCTATCCTTCTATCTAGTCCATCTACATACCCATCCATTTATCTACCTCTAGCTTTCTTTTTTTTTTTGAGGAAGATTAGCCCTGAGCTAACATCTGCTGCCAATCCTCCTCTTTTTGCTGAGGAAGACTGGCCCTGAGCTAACCTCCGTGCCCATCTTCTTCTACTTTATATGTGGGACGCCTACCACAGCATGGCTTGCCAAGCGGAGCCATGTCCGCACCTCGGATCCGAACCAGCAAACCCTGGGCCACCGAAGTGGAATGTGTGAACTTAACTGCTGCACCACTGGGCTGGTCCCATACCTCTATCTTTCTTAAAATTAAAAATAAAAAATAAGGTGGGTGTCATAGGGATGCATTCTAACATGCTTATTTGAATTGAAAAAGAGAATTAGATTCTTTCTGACACAAACAAGTCTGATTTGCCTGCTTTCGTTGACAGTAAAAGACTGGCATTTCCAATTATGTTATGTGGCAAAATTTCCGTACATTAAATGAGTCAAATCTGCAGCTTCAAAGTTTCAATGAAAACCTAGTTCAAACTTGTTATACGATAAAAGCATTTTTGGGCTGGCCTGTGGCTGAGTGATTAAGGTTTCACATGCTGTGCTTCAGTGGCCTGGGTTTGGGGGTTCAGATGCCGGGCATGGACCTATTCCACTCCTCAGCCATGCTGTGGAGGCAGCCCACATACAAAAAATAAAGGAAAGAGGCCGGCCCTGTGGCCGAGTGGTTAAGTTCGCGTGCTCCACTTCTGTGGCCCAGGGTTTCGTGCGTTTGGATCCTAGGCACGGACATGGCACCGCTCATCAGGCCACGCTGAAGTGGCGTCCCACATGCCACACCTAGAAGGACCCACAACTAAAATATACAACTATGTGCCGGGGGGCTATGGGGAGAAGAAGAAGAAGAAAAAAAAGAAGAAGACTGGCAACAGTTGTTAGCTCAGGTGCCAATCTTTAAAAAAAAAAAATAGAGGAGGATTGGCACAGATGTTAGCACAGGGCTAATCTTCCTCAAGCAAAAAAAGGGGAGGATTGGCAACGGATGTTAGCTTAGGGCTTCCTTATACACAAAAAAAGATAAAAGCACTTTATAAAAAATATAACATGGGAAGATATGTTAAAAATAATAATCTTTTAAGTGACCTGACCCATTCTGAATATTTTGGGTTAACCAAAGTGCTTCAGAGAAAGTGTCAGGGTGTAATAAATGGTCACATGAGAAGGCTTGGTCAAATCTTTATGGCCTGCTTCCCAGAAGTTGAGCAAGTGAGTGATTCTAATATTTGCTTTAAACAAAATTGAAGGAGAACCTAACTGAATCATAGCTGATAGATCATTCAGAATAGTGATCACTGTATAATTTTCAGCAGTTAATCTAGAAGAATTGAAAGAATTGAGTGACATTGTGGTAACAAAACTCCTTCCATCCCCAAGATTTC